AGTTTATAGGTTCAAACTGTGTTAAATCACTCCTGTCACTTGCATTTTGACTAAATCCTCTTATATCACATTCCATATCTTATAATAAAAAGACTCAATGTAGTTTAACGTTGTGCCACAAATGTTATACAAGTACAACGTATATCAAACGCTCAATGGTAACATTGAGCGCGTTGAAAGAAGTACACATACCAGCATTGTGTCGTTTTAATTCAATCAGTCAAATTTCAGCTTTTTCGTTCATTATAGTGAGGATTGTATAAGATTCATTTTTTGTCTCTATAGTCTTCTTAGCATTTCTCATCAAAGACATCATCTGAATAACTGCAAAATTGAACGTATGGGTCTTCGTCCATTCCTTTTCCCTGAAGCATAAGAAATATGGATATCCATCAAATGCTAAAGCATTTGTAAATGACAAAGTATAATAACGATTTGGTAACGCCTGGAAAAATAGAGACCCGATCCTGGCTTCTCGTCCCCTCCTAGAATATTCCACTTCATTGTGTAATCCACCAGTTCCCAATGTTGGCCCTAGTTATCGGTTGTGATTAGGAAATGTTGTTTCCTCGACCATAGGCATTGTGTCGCTTCGTATGGTGGTGGTGGATCTTGTGCGTAGTGTGCATATGTTAAAAAAAGATGATATGATATTGAATGTGTGTGTATGTTTCTATACTTCCGAAGGCTAAAGCCATAATCTCTATCCTTCTGTTTAGTTTGGTTTATGGCTATAAATAGAACAGGGAGGAGGGGTATAATGTTCTTGCTCTTGCTCCTATCCTCAATATATTCACTGTGAATAGAAAATGAGATTTGAAGAGTATAAATATACAATAAGGATGGGTGGAGAACTGTTATTAATTCGCGAATTTGCAAGCGATCAAGATCAAAATTAAAACCAAAACAAACCAAACCAAACCAAAACTATACGCGTACAACAACAGTCATCCTGTATTTTTCGGTCACATTGCAAAGAATGGCTAAAAGTATACTAAAAGACAACACGGCACCATTGCCTAGTACGTCACGTCGAGTTTCTTTTGCACCTGAAGTGACTCTACATCGAATTGAAGTATTCAACCCCAACAAAAGAAGAAAGACTGACGGTGGGGCTAGTGGGGCCAGTGGATACTCTTCATCTTCATCACAATCTGATTTTGAAGTAGTCCATTATCTGACACGCCGCGAACTCGAAAATGAAGGAGATTCTGAGTTGATAGATTCAAGTAATAAGATTAATGAAGACGGCGAATTTGATGGCAGTTCTGATGATGGTAGTAAACCGTTGACTGATAGTTCAGACGAAAAGGAGGAAGGGGAAGATAACAACAATGAGGATGCTGTTGATGATGATGGAGTGCGACTGGCATTGCCCCCTGCCAATATACGTGCGATAGAAGTGGTTAAAAGCCTCGAACGAAAAGAAGAAGCTGAGGTCAGTATGGAATTGACTTCACAGGGTGCTGTTAGTGTAATTGGAAAAGAGGCAAGAATTGATGCATTGCCTAGTACACCATCAGCGTATGCATCGGGAGAAGATGCTGACTATTCAAGTAATGGTGAAGAGGATGGGGCAAGCTTTGTTAATAACGATGAAGAGGAAGAAATGCAGCTAACAGAAAGAGTGGACAAGACTCAGAACTCACACTCAGTTATACCTGCCGATGATGAACCAGAAGATATGCAATTAACTGGTCCTATAACCTCCACATCACGAAGATATCGACAAGCATCTGCAGGCTCAGATGATGATGGCGATGAGACCATAAATTTGACAACTCTAATGTCCAAGGTAGATGAGGCACGTGTCATGAATAAAATTGGAGGTGGAAATAACCCTGAGGGAAGTAACGGTGAGAGAAGAGCTTCCGGTCGTCACCAGAGTATTGATAATGTGACCGAAGATGGTTCAAATATGGAATTAACCGAGAAAATAAGCCGAGTTGTACCTCGAGTGCCAATTTTAAAGCCGAGCCTTCAAGAATTACCAGATGATAATAATGATGGTGATTACGATGCAGATATTCCAAAGAATGAAAGTGAGGTAAATGTACCGAACAATACTACAGAGCAAGCAGTTGTGGATATGGAAATTACCGAACCAGTGAGAAGCGAAGTGGCGCCCAACAAGAAGCCTAACATGGTTGTGGACCCTGGAAGTTCTGAAAGCCAAGATATGGAGCTAACTCAACCTGTAACGAAATTGATTACGGAGCTGCAACGAGGCACTATTGATGATCTGGCTTTACAAAATGAGGAAATGGAATTGACTCAACCAACAAAGAGTGTGGTGAGGGAAGATCAACCGAACAAGCCGGCCGAAGAAAAAAGCTCAGAAAATGCAAATGGTATTAGTTCATTGTCAAAAGTGGGAGATGATGGTGTTGGTGTCACACAAGGACATAGTGTTGTAAGCATGGACATAACTGAACTGCAACAACCCTTGGCCGACTCACAGCAATCTATGGAACTCACACAGGTGCAAACAGTAGTAGTAAGACAAGATACTCCCTTGGAACTGGCGAAGCAAGTGGCGAGTTTGGAAAGTAAAACTCCTGAACAAGAAGCTACTGCTTCAAAGGTAGCACTAGCTGGCGTTGCTTATCATACAGCTGTGCAAGATACTGGTAAAGATGAAAAGAAAGAAATTCCTATTTTACATGATGAGAGTGAACGCGTGATAGACAGGTATGCTAATTACAAACAGGTGCAGTTAGCCAAATTCCTCGATGATATCAAACTCAGGTTTTATACTGAAATAGATCCTGCCACGAATGTATTAAGTGGATTTAGTTCAACTGAATCTACTGCGCATCAACCACCTTCTATTCACGATTTGATTCTGGCTATCCCCTACAAGGAAGTACTTGCTTTGAATGAATTTATAATAAATGAATTACAAACCTACATTAGGGAAGGCGAGCGAGTATTTCAAGAATTTAATGCGCAAATTAGCAGTGACAACCCACCCATAATTAAAGAATTTTACACGACAAATGATCTAAAGCAACGTGAAATCATGACTATATGTTTGAACAATATAAAAGAGATGGCTAAATTGGAAAGTAAGTCGACTTGGTATAAGTGGAAATCAACGTTGGTACAGAATGTAATTGATGAGATGGAGAGGCAAATTGAGCTATTAAGGAAATGCCAAGTAGATTTGAATGACTATTTGCTAAAATTGGATGAGGAAGGGGTGCGTGTCGATACATACAAGAGAGATTTGGTGACCAAGATGCAACGGTTGAAAAGTGCCAAGCAGGCAGTGGGTAGCTTATCCCAGGACCAAGCGAATGAGATGCGGCAAGCGTTTAGCCAACTGAAGTCTGAATTGCAAAATCTTGGTATTAAATTTGAGCAAGCCAACAACCAGCTAGTGCAATTGAATCAAACATTACTTGTATTACAACACCAAAAGATAGACTTGGTAAAACAAGTGGATGAAGCTGGTTTTGAAATAGACAAAAACAAAAAATTCACCAAACAAGACAAGTTGAGTATCAAGAAGAATTATGATCGATTATCTAAATCAACCCACTTGAAGTATTTACGTACTGAAGATCGGTCTACTTTTGTGTTTTTGTATGACGCTACGATTGTTATCAAGCTTGATTTTTTGCAGAACCTATTTCAAGTTGGAGAAGTACAGTCCAATAAATTCAGGTTCAAACTGTTGATCAACTACATACACAAATTCCCTGTATTCAATGATGGTGGTGAGAATATAAATCCTGCACTTATATGGACGCAATTCAGATCGTATTGGCGGAAACTAGTTGAATTTGATACAGCATTATACTTCAACTTGTTTCAATTTCCTGTAAAAGTGGTTGAAAATAAGGAAAACATTGAGGACGGTGTGATTAGATTTCAAGTTGATTATTTTGATTTCGACAAGTCGAGAAGGTATTTTGTGGTTGGATCGCTTGCGGTTGCATCGTTGCTTAATTATGAATCTAGTATTAGCTTTACAGTTAGACCAGCAATGGCATACAGCCTAGATGATCCATCCGAGTATGATAAAACACTTACAAAGCTTGGTAAGTGTATTGATTTGCCTCAATGTACATACATCTATGATCCAAAGCTATATATCCGTTAAATTACATATTGACAATATACAACTGTTACTCCATTTTACCCCGGGTTTCGTCATTGGTGGTTTTTTTTTCTTCTTTTGCTTTTCCTCTCTTAATGAGTAGCACCAAGGAAGATTGTGGCTCCTAAACATACAATCATTACAGCAACACCCCATATTGCCAAAACCAATCCGCCGTATTTGCAAAACTTCTCCAACCTGTTTAATTCAACTTGTCCTTGTTCTATTGGTTTAATTAATAGATATCCAAATAATCCCGGTAGAATAAATGATATCGAGGTTGACCCTGTACTTCCAACAAACGCCAACACTTTCGCCAACGAAGTGACTAATATGGCAACAAGGTAACTTCCCACAACAATTATGGATGTTATTATATAAAATTTCTTTGTTGTCAATGGCACCACTATTGGATCGTGTCCCTGTGTGTCATGAGCACCTTCCATTGGTGTTGTCGATATAAACGATTCATCTACTATACTGCTATCATTTATTGATGAAAGGCTTTCGATATCGGAGGTTAAGGCCGTGTATGCACCACTGTCAGTTCGATTGCCGTTGATCATGCTACCACTAATACTGACATTGGTGGTGCTGTTACTTCTATTGTTGCTATTGTTACTGGTGTTGCTTCTCTTCTTCTTCACCTGAGATGTGTCAACACCATGAGTTATGAAATGTATCACATGGTTAATAGATCCCCGACATGGATGACACTGCAAAGGAAATGATAAACTCACCATGATCACAATGCATAATCTTCCAATCAATGAACTTATCGATTCACGAGGGTACATGGATATAATATTGGCATTGACATCATTACCAAATGTTAAATATCCTAAAATCCCCACTACTAGGTAGCTTATCAATGCAGTTGCAATAGCATTGCGAATAATTAAATTGGATTGACGTGTTTGCGACCCATCCTTGGCATCGGGCTTCAATTCGTTAATAATGGCAAACATATTCTGATGACATGTATATGCAAATACAAACATAGGGAATGAACTCAATGTCAGGCTCCAACTCTTGGGTCCGATCCAATCAATATTCTTGCTGCCTGCAGGCACAGGTATAAACAGTCTTGCAGCTAACAACCCCACATTGTTGTTGTCATCGCCATTGCCATTTCCTTGTTTATGTATCAGTAAAGCAATGTACTTTTCAATAACTAAACAAATCAAATATCCCACGGAAAACAATGCAACGAAACTTGTGTATTTCAAACTGTTCAATTTTTTCAAATAAGACAATGGTGCAACAACAATCGCCATAAACAAACTAATCCAAAAGTTTCGATGCATCAAAATTGGATGGTTCGCTGCAGCATCGTCTCCAGCTATCGTTTCAACAATCTTTGGCATCAAGTCACCAATCACCACAAGGTAAGAAACACCAACACCAAAACATTTAATCGATATGGCTGAGTCAAACACTATGGAAAATTGCGGATACGTTAACTGAGCTAAGCTGAAATACGACACTGAACCTCGTTGGCCAGTGTATTTGGCCACTTTATTCTGTAAGTACAATCCAAATGATGATGTGAGTGAAGAACATATTATTAATATACATCCAAATAAAAGTCCATTTGTACTTAATCCATACGGCATAGCTAGGATACCAGCTCCAATTATGGTGTTTAGTAAGTTTATGGTACCCGATTTGATCGTAGCTCGTCCCATATTGTTGTAGTGTTATGATCCGGAAGAAGGGAGGGGAAATCTGTAAAAAATGTTGGGTGAGAAATCAAGCGAGGGAAAAGATTGGTATGTTGCGCTTAATAGTGTGCTATATCTTTGCCATAAAAGTGTCTGTTATTGTATACGATGGGTTGAGGACTGTGTGAGTATGACAGCGTGTGTTAGTCTGTATATCTCTATGTTGATTAAATGCTTGTCGTGTGTTCGCTTAATTTTTGGCATGTTGAAAGTTGTTTTATTTTTTTGGCTGTGTGCAGAGAGAAAGGCTAACAGAGACATTAATGAATAATCAGCATTAAATGCTGGCAAAACTCACATTGTCATTGCTTTTACCATTATAGATCAAAGTATATATGGTTTTATTGGGTGAAGAAGTTCTAATTGCTCTGTAATAGGGTTCATACAGTACCAATGGATGTCGTATGCAGATGATGTCCTATACGTCCCATTGATCAATAAGAAAGTCGAAAGAATAACTGCCTCGATACCTTATCATCGCATATTTGGAAATGCTGTTGGCAACTAAGTTTGGAGTCAATATGGGTATGGTCTTTGGAGTTACAGAATCTTTCCTCGATGTGGGTGACTCTTCATGCTTCCATCACTCTGTGGAGGGCTTACATCGCTGCATACTGAATTTGCTATATAGGGTAGCGAGCCATGTTGACATGTTGCATAATCTTTTTGTATCCTAGAGCTGCCTCAATTTACCTATAAATTGGACCATCTGCTAACTATGTTTGATTCAATAGCAAATTTTTCAGTGTTGACCGCTTAAGCACTACCCTGATCTGGGGTTCTAGTCATCTTATTACAGCTTTTATCTTTGATCCATAGGTTGATAATGAGAGTCAAACGAGAGAAGCAGAGATTACGATCCTTTCAACCGGATTGCTGTAAATACAGAGCTACTTTTACTGTATATAGATTATTTCAACCTGTCTCTACACAATAATAATCTAGATGAGCAGCTATAACTTGTATAAATTTAGTTGGTTACGAGCAGAAATGAACACGAATATGGTGGTACGTTACATTCTTGGAATAACTTGAGGGAGAAAAGTCAAGTTTTAGATGATGATACTATTTGCAAAATACTCCCAATCTAATTGACAAATCCACGCATTTGGAAATAGTTGAACAAGTGGTATTACACGCTGGCAGAATAATAATACAATAATATTGTTGGTATAGCATTGTGAATTTCATTGCTATATTTCAAAGTGGGGAAGAAATGCTGTTGAATTTGGTTGCAAAACTTTTTGTTTGTGCATAACATACACTAACACATACACCAACACATACTACACACTAGAAATCAATTCTGAAATGCCCCCTATACATAACAGCTTTTTTACCCTTCAGATTTCGCCTTATTGCAATAATAACACAACACAAGGATAAAATTGGATGCCACTTTAACTGGAGATACTTCTCTTTTTGTCATTATTTTGATATTCTACAGTCATACACAAACACTTGCAGCCAGCTTTTTTGGACTTTACAGGGACAAATTTATTTTTCCTTTCTTCTCCACATCAAATATGGCTGATTGTTTGGAGTGGTTAAATGACACATGTCACTGGTCAGGTTCAAATCCGTTGAGTGAACATGTCATTCACAAAGGAGCTCAACCCAACTCAAAAGAATCTGCTGCTGCTGCAAAGGGAGATAACACATCAGGAATCGTTGGTTGGGACAACAATGGTATTGATACTGCAGGTTTTGCAGCATGGAGACGAGGAGAAGAAGTATTGAACTCGGCTAGCTTAGACTACCACGTATTTGGCACAATTGGAAGTAGAATTATTGGTTTTGATAATTGGACACAAGAAGTAGATGTCGATGGTGACGAGGACGAGGACGAGGACGATAGATACAAGCCAGATATTGAGCCGGGAATTGAAACACCACCTACTTCTCAGGTGCCGCTACCTTTGAAGAATATTAACTTTCGAGAGTTGGAAGGACATTATGAAGGCACTGATTCTGCCATGAACCCCATACCATCTGGCAAATACATTGATTTGGCAAACCATCAACAAGTGAATGAGTTTATGCAAGCTCATTATGTTGACAGTTATAATGGATTCAAAGAACCGGAATATGGCTCTTATTCGAGTACAACAGTATTTTCCAAAAGAGATTTGATGAAGAAACCATTTATTGTACTTGGAAGTTTTTTCAAGAAATTGTCAATCCACAAAGAACCAGTTACAGGTCGTAAATTGTCCCCTAATTCAAGTTCAAGAACCAAAGAAGCAAAGGATGAAGAAGTGCAGCGGGTAATGGACCATTATTATGTGAGAGGTTTTTCTGCTTCCGAAGTGTTACAAGAGGTGCTGCTGAGACTGCGTTTAAATCAACTGCTGCTGATCCAATGATTGTTTGAATGAGTGTCGTTTTATGGGGACCTTGCAAAAAAAGGATTGAATTTTAATGTGTTTGTATATATTCTAATCAAGCTAATAACTTTGTAATTGCATTCACTTCAAAGTAAACTATTGTGTAAAGGTGGTACATAAATAGATCTATCCAGCATTGCGACTGCTCTGGCCAGGAACATATCGATAGAGTAAACATCCCTACATTAAATACTCAGTTGCAAACAAATTTATATAAAATCTCACGATATAAAACAAACGAAATTGTCTCAAAATCTCTAGCTAAAATTGAAAATATAAACGAAATGGTAAAAACAAAAGCAAAATAAAATAAAATAAAACTAGAAAAAAGTAAAAAAGCCATCATTGTTATACCTTTGAGAGAGTTGCAACCTATCCAAAAAAGTCCCTGGTGGATTAACGCCTCTTGCTACAAAAAAACAAAATGACCTTTAAAAATACTTTCCTCTAGCACTAGATTCTTCGCTTTCTTCATATCCGCAATTATCCTCTCACCCTCTCTCTCTCTCTCTCTCTCTCTCTACTCGCAGCTCAAAAGACCAACCAACCAACGAGGAAAGAAAGCAAGGCCAATATTAACGCAACAGGCAATGAAATACCATTTGTAGTTAAAGCATTGGCACCGGCTGAGGAAGAATCATCACCACGTGAAGCGGCTCTCTCGTTTCTATCCAATTTGGCGGTTAAAGATTGAACTTGTCTAGCCAAAGTATCCAAGTCTTGCTGAACTGATGGAGAGTTTTGTTGTTGCTGGCCATAACCAGAGTTGAAACTTCCACCAACACCACCTTGTTGTGATTGGTAGCTTGGTTGTTGTTGCAATTGTTGGTATGGTGGTTGCTGTTGCTGTTGTTGGAAACCGGAGCTGTAACCATTGTTAGTGGATGAAGTATCGTTGAAAGATCTGTTCTGAGCCCCACCAAAGTCACCTGATGGTGGTTGACTGAATGATGCGTCGCCATTGGCTTGAGCTTGTGGTTGGTAGTGAGCATTTCCAATAATGCCTGCAGCTCCAGCTCCGGCAGCAGCACCACCGGCAACACCGGCAGCTCCAGCTCCAGCTCCATATGAGCTTTGACTAGCTTGGTGAGAGAGAGCTGGCTGTTGCTGTTGTTGTTGTTGAGGTGGCTGTTGTTGGTATTGTTGTTGTTGTTGTTGTTGTTGTTGTTGTTGGTGGTGACCTGCTGCACCTGCACCTGCACCTGCGCCTGCGCCGTTGTAGGATTCATCCTTATCAGGGCCAACGACATAATTGACCTTCAATTTCTTTGAAACAACGGCGGATTTATTTTGTGCCTCCAATTGGGACCATAATTCTCCAACTTTTGATGGGTCAGAGCGAGGTGGTGCTGGAACTGAAACCAACAAGAATTTATCTTTACATCTGTAATCTTCTGGTAATGGTTGAGAAAATCCTTGCAAAATGATGGAAATTTGTAAAGAATCACCTGGTTGAATGATACTAGCATTTGGTCTGACACAATATAATTTTGGGGCAGTAGTTTTAACTTTAAAAGCCAATGCTTGGTTAGTTGGGTTTGACAAAGTCAAGTATTCGGTAGTTTGCTTGGTAAATGAACCTATAAAGTAGAGGGGTTAGTATTGCCATAGTATAAAAAGTGAATGAGAAAATAATGGATGATAGTGTCTGGGAGCAATCTGTGAGATCCCGTTTTCGTTAGCTTGACACCAATTGAGTCCAATCTATCAATTGCTTATCTCAAAACCACTCAATCACTCAAGTAACAGGGGTTATAATATATAAGAAGTATCTTTCCCGTGATACCTCGGTCTAACCCCCTTTTTGCTTGCTTTATTCGTTTGATCAAAGCCTTGTTGCATATTTTTGCTTTTTGCTTCCTTATACGTCCATCCATTCTTCTGAAAAGGGTGGGAAAAAAAAACGAAAACATACCAGTAAATTCTAAAACATTTGGTGAGACATTCATCTTTGACGTAGGTTATTCAATTGTTGATAAAGTGTGGGCAACGGGTATATGTATAGATGATATATAGTAAGATTGATGTAGTGAGGTTGTAGTTTGTAATGCGAAGTTCTCTTTGCTATCAAAATATCTGTTATTGTATCAAAAGTGATCTGCTACAGATATATATGTATGTATGTATCTCGTCCTTTGATTGGGAATTGAGGAGTGGTAAGGGTTGTTTTTTCAAAAAAAAATCAAAAGTTGTGAATGAATAAATGGGAAGAAAAGTGTTGTGATTAAAAAGTTTGTTGAAATTTCAAGTGGAGACAAACAACAAAAGAGAGTGAGAGTGAGAGTGAGAGGGAATGTATTTATGTACTTATGTATTTATGTATGTTAGAGATTTTTTATTGTTTTTTTTTTTTTAATTGAAGTGTGTGTACAAATAAAAAAAAAAAAAGAGGAGGCGTTCAAAAATTATCACAGTCTCTCTCGGGCTAAGTAACAGACACCAACACCCACATTCCCACAAAAAAAAAGAGCAGGATACTCACACAGCGTACTGAAGATGCAACTCACATGAACGTATTATTTTAACAGTACCATCATCTGTTTTATTTTCCAGGAAGAAGTAACGTAGAAAAAGAGAAAAGAACAACAGTAAGAAGCACTCTGGTTGCAAATACATCTACCGAAGAATCCAAGTGGTCACGCGAATGGCTGATAAAAATTACACTTCCTAGTTCAGAGGGCTTACAACCAATGGTATCCCACGTTGATCTGTCTCATTGTATGATTCCTTTTTTTGTTCTCTCTCTTTGCCACAAGAGCCTTTTACCGAGTATTATCTCACTCTTACCCCAACATTTTGCAATTTTTCATGTGTAAGTGATTTAAAGAGTCTACAATAATGTCAGGAGCACATTGTTTCGGTAGACATGTACGGCTTCTAACCCAAAAGAGATCGCCACCACTACCACCCCTCGATTCTTCCATCTTTCAACACCATTTTGATTTCCCAAATGGGTTATATTTCGCTCTTGTTTTTTTTTTAACTCAGGGTTCTTTCAAAATTCTTTTTATTTTCTTAACCCTTGTCAAAAAAAACCATGCACACAACAGTTGTAGCACATACATATGTATAATTCTACTAGATTAACCTAATTGGAAGAAATAGAATTTTACATAGTCAGACCTCCTTTCCTCATTCATACATTGGTTAAGGGACGGGCTTTTGACATATTGGTCTGTTCAATTGTCACATTCTTGTGTTTTTTTTGTTGTCTTTTTTTTTTTCACAGTCCTTGGTTGCCCCACTATTTACTGCCCCTCTTTCCTTATCTCCTATTTTAAAAGAAGAACAAAAATTACTTAAATAGGAGAAATCAGTGAGAAATGTTTAAAGTAACGATCCATTTACATTCTCTTCTCTCCCCGCAAACCAAATACACACATCAGAGGCTACACTTAAGCAGAAGTAATACACAGTGGGTAAACTCTCACCTGTGTTAACTCTAAGAACCTCAGTATCAAGTTGATGTAATCAAGTAACGATTGAGCAACAACTTACTATAAAGCCAGTGAATAGTTGGTTTATCTGCCCTATAGCGACTTATCGGCATTGAGTAAACTTTTCTTGATCCTGTGTGATAGTGTGGGTGAGTATTTGGCGATACATTGATATTCGTGAAATGTTGGGTTACCAGGTGAGAAAATTGGCTGGAAGTGATCCTTTTCCAAACTTTCAATAAGGATAGCCATTAATCCAATTGATGTGTGTTGAGACAATGGGGGAACTGATGAATGGCCACCAGGAGTGTTTATCCCCACAACCACGTCGGTTGATCCCTTTTCACTTGTACCGGGTAATTCCCAAACCACTCCTTCTTCATGGGCAATACTTTGACCACCTTCATCAATAACAGCATAAAATGAATCATTGCCATATCGTTGAGTTAGAAATTGGCCAATACGTTGAGCTCCACGTTCTCTACCCACTTTTTCATCAAATCCAAATCCAAATCCAAGAATAATAGTTCGTTTCGGTTTGAATCCCGATTTGTATAGTTCTTCAAGTGACTCTAGCAAGCCAATCAACAAGTTCTTGCAATCAAATGAACCCCGGTCCCATAGCTTGTCCCCCTCATAAACTCCATCGTATGGGGGGGATAAATCCATTGGTCCAATGTTGATTTCTGTATAGGCACCACATCTTGGTGAGCAGTAAGCAAAATTGGCTTCAAGTCCGACTCTGCTTCCTTTCCTTTCCTTTCCTTTCCAAGTGACGACAATTGCATGTGAGTGAACAAGTTCAACTTGTCAGCAAAGTGAAAATAATGGGTAACTGTCTTGTTTAAACATTTCTAAAATGAAACAAGATGATACCATGGTGTCTTTGTATAAAATACTGCAAATTTGGGCACATATATCTAATCTCTTGGTCGACTGATAACAAATTTTGCAAAAAAGAATGCATATCATCATTCGTGGTGGAACTGGGTGGCTTCTCGCCCATGTATCACATACACAATTAGAATGGTTAATTTGTTAAGTGAGGGTTATTTATAAACTGCTGAAATGGGTCACCTATTCAAATCAATCCTCGAATCTTCTTTACTATGACAGTGTAGTGTCATTCCATGTGATACAAAAATCTTGGATGCAACTATAACCAACAAGGTCTATGAATTTTTTTTTCCTCTTTTTTTAGTTTTCAACTAACAATCTGGCAAGAAGTTGTAGAGTACCAACAACTAAACCTTTCAACAGCACTACCACCACCACACTATCGTCTTCGATAAGTTGATTTGTATTACTCCTTTACTAACTCGAGCGTGTATTGTCTTCATGCTCTTCTGGTGCTTCACGAAATACTATCAAAACGTACTAAATAGCCCCATTTTGTCACCAGCGGTAAATCGCCTCACAACTACCTATATCTCATCGTTGTCCAAACCGTTTTTAAATTTGAACAGACCTATTACAGAGCATAGTTCACATTCTATCATGCCCCAAGCTCAACAATATACTGTATTAGCTGATGATGCAAGCATTGAAAAGTCAGTAATCGACGACAGACAATACCGCTTCCTCAAGCTTAAGAACGACTTGCGAGTTTTGGTCATAAGCGACCCTTATGCTGATAAATCTGCTGCTTCATTGGATGTCAATGTCGGGTCGTTTGCTGACAAGGCGTACGATGTCCCCGGGTTGGCTCATTTTTGTGAACACTTGTTATTCATGGGAACATCCAAGTATCCACTGGAAAATGAGTACTCTGACTATTTGGCCAAACACTCGGGTAATTCCAATGCATACACCGCAGCAGAACACACAAACTATTATTTTCAAGTTGGGTCGAACCACTTGGAAGGTGCATTGGATAGGTTTGCCCAATTTTTCATCTCGCCGTTGTTTAGCAAGAGTTGCAAAGACCGTGAGATAAATGCTGTTGACTCTGAGAATAAGAAAAATTTGCAAAATGACTTGTGGAGATTGTATCAATTGGATAAACTGAACAGTAATCCTAGTCACCCCTACAATGGCTTTTCAACGGGAAACTACGTGACATTGCATACTGAACCCGAACTGCAAGGTATCAATGTCCGCGATGTTTTGATGCAATTTCACCGCGATAGATACTCTTCAAACTTGATGAGCTTGGTTATCTTGGGTAAGGAAAGTTTGGACGAGCTTACATCCTGGGCTGTTGAGAAATTTTCCACGGTGGCTGATAAAGCCTTGTCTAGACCAAACTATGGCGGCGAGTTGATTTACAAGAGTGAACAGATGCTCAAGCTAATCAAAGCAAAGCCGGTAAAGGACTTGCATCAGTTGGAGATATCGTTTATGATTCCAGATGACTTGGAGGATAAGTGGGATTGTAAGCCACAAAGTTACTTTTCACACTTGTTGGGCCATGAAAGTGAAGGCTCCATATTGTTCTATCTCAAGTCGAAAGGGTGGGTTACTGAATTGTCGTCCGGTAATATGAAGGTGTGCCAGGGCAGTTCTTCCTATGTCGTTGAATTTCAATTGACGCCTGAAGGATTGACGCACTGGCAAGACATTGTTGAGACAACATTTGATTATTTAGATTTCGTCAGTAAGAAGGGCCCGCAGAAATGGATTTGGGAGGAAATCAAAAATATTTCCGAAGTGAATTTCAAATTCAAACAGAAAACTGATGCTGCCAACACAGCTTCCAAGTTAAGCAGTGTTTTATATAAATTTGATGAATTTATTCCTGCTGAAAATATATTGAGCTCTTCAGTGGTTCGCAAATATGACCCTGAAGCTATAAAGAAGTTTGGATCGTACTTGAATCCTGGAAATTTTCGAGTCACTTTGGTCTCCCCTGAATTTGAGGGCCTCTCTCAAAAGGAAAAATGGTATGGCACTGAATATCAAGTACAAGACATTCCTCAAGCGTTAATTGCTCTGATCAACAAACCAACCTCCAATAATCTGCACTTGCATTTCCCGTCACCAAACCCTTTTATACCAACGAATTTCGACATATTGACAAAGAAGCTGGTGGAGCATCCACAAATTGCGCCGTACTTGGTCAATCATGACAACAAGATGAATCTTTGGTATAAACAAGACGACCAATTTGAAGTGCCCAAGGGAACAATAGAAATTGTGTTTCATTTGCCTGGATCCAATGTAGATGTTGCATCGGCTACCAAGTCTGTCATGTTTGCTGAAATGTTGGACGACCACTTGAACCAAGTTACCTATTTTGCCTCTTTGGTTGGTTTGAGAGTGGGCATCAATTGTTGGCGTGATGGGTTTGCCATAGTCGTTACGGGATACAACCACAAGCTCCCTATCCTTTTGAACAAAGTGTTGGATGAGTTTTTCAACTTCCATCCTAGTGTTGACAGATTTGGGCCATTAAAATTCAAATTGTTGAAAGAATTCAAGAATATTGGCTATCAAGTTCCATATAATCAAATAGGATCGTACCACTTGCAAGTCGTCAATGAAAAGGTATATGATTATGATGACAAAATTAAGGTTCTAGAGGGGTTGCAATTCTCTGAAGTGGAGCATTTTATCAAGAATTCAATCACTTCGGCTGGCGTGTTTGCTGAAATTTTGGTTCATGGTAATTTTGATATCAATAATGCCACCGAAATCAAGATGAGTATATCGAAGCATTTAGATCTGATTAAGCCAATCATGGAAGAATACGAAGAGTATAAATTCCACTTGCGAAACTACGTTTTGCAACCCGGTGAAGTAACCCGTTTTGAGGTGAACCTCAAGGATAAAAATAACATCAATTCATGTATTGAGTATTACCTACAAATCAGTCCAACAAACGATGATATAAAGTTGAGAGTTCTCACTGACTTGTTGGCAACTATTATTCGTGAACCGTGCTTTAACCAATTACGGACAAAGGAGCAGTTGGGATATGTCGTGTTTTCAGGTTTGAAAAAGGGTAGAACGTCGTTAGGGTTTAGAATCTTGGTGCAATCCGAGAGGCCAAGCGAATACTTGGAGTACAGGATTGATGAGTTTTTGAGCAAGTTTGGCAAGTATGTCAATAATGAGTTGAGTGCTGAGAACTTTCAAAAGTTCAAACAAGCTTTAATTGATGCCAAGTTGCAAAAAATAAAACACTTGAGTGAAGAGACCAATCGCTTGTGGAATGCAATCACGGATGGATATTACGATTTTGACGCAAGGCAGAAACATGCTGCTTTGTTGGAGGGTATTTCAAAAGAGGAATTTATAAATTTTTTCAACGAGTATGTCACCGGAGCTGAAACCAACAAAAATGAAAAGATTGGGAAATTTGTCCTCCATTTGAAATCTCAAGTCAACAACAACGTACCTGAATCGAAACTAGTTCAAGCTGCGTTGAATAATTTTGGATACCGCCACGGGTATGACCTCAGCCATGACTTTGTTGATGGTTTGGTCAAGCAAGTGGATCTGGTGGCTATTGATTCCATTATTGCAGAATACATTCAAGAGGTTGAACGTGAGTCGAAAACCAGCTTGAATCAAGAGCAAGTGACTGAAGAAATCAAGTCGGCTATAAGGAACCCGGTCCCTGATCGATACCCTAGTGGCACCTTGGTTAATTCAGTTGACGAATTCAGAAAAAGTCATGACATAGGCGGATATCCTCATCCTGTTTCACCATTGACAAAGTTTTATTATGACCAGTCGCATTTGTAAAACTACACTAAAAGTATTTAAGATAAATAGATATAGAATATCGTACAACGAGCATTACTTGATATATATATATATATATATAGTGGTTGCAAAATCATCAAGACCTAAATGTGAAGGACTTATCATCTATTTAACGGGCGACGAATATATTGATGAAAAGGATAGAGAGTCGAACAAAGAGCAGAGCGCCGAAGAGGAAGTAAGACTCTCTACTTCATTATATAGAGTCACATACAAATCTTTTAGCTTTTTACAACACCAAAGAACCAATAGATAGTATAATTTCTCATTATATTATTGCGTATATAAAGTTACTCTAATGTAATCTCTCTCTCGATTGCAAGGGCAATATCGACAAATCCATCTGCTCTAAAGCACGTGATGAGCCACCAAATTAGGCATACCCCAACAGCTGTAACCCAAAGGTTTGGCCAAATAGCAAATACCTTCAGTTTCAATTCCATCGTATCCTTCGACTCGATCCCACGTAGTTCCGATTATATAACTAGTGGGGAATATAGCTCCCTGTTTGAAAATATACGATTTGAAAAAAAGGACAGCACCACCAACAGAGTCCAATTCAACCACGTAATTCAATTGCTGTTGCTCCAAGGCCAATTCATCTTTGTTATCCAAATTATAAAAATGAAACATATCCAGCTCAACATCACGAGGTACGTAATCAAGTTGGTCCCATTTGTTTTGATCCATTAATTTTAATTGTTCTTCAGTTGGCTTTGTTCTACTGCCTCTCCATGAGTTACGATCATAGTCAGAATTATCGCCGCGTCTTATTCTTGGGACAACAATATCCTTCTTCGATGCAACTAAAGTTTCAACAAATGTTGGTGCATTTTCAAACTCAACAACGTCCGAATCGAGAAACAATGTGTATGTTTCCTGGGATAATGCATTGGATACAAGGTAGTTACGACACCTAGCAATTAGTCTTCGTCTAAACCTTTGTTTTCGATCGTCATGACGATTATCTCTGGATAATCCATCATCATCGTTTGTTGATGGCATTTGTTCTAAATCGGGTGCTGAAACTAAAGTTATGGTGTTGTAGTATTTGAAAAATTGAACATCATGGTTGTCAATATATTGTTGAACGCTTTCGAATTCAGCAAGATAATTGGTTGATAAACCTAAATTGAATTGTAAATGTGACTGGTTTTCAACAATGGTTGATATAGTCTTGGCAAAGTCGCTAAATTGACGATTGTTTCCAAATGGTTGATCTTTTCCAAAAGCAGAAAGAATAATGACGGATTGATATTGGTTAATGGTGGTGTATTTGTTGGTTGTTTTTTCGGGGTTTTCTTCCAATGGTTCTTGTTGTTGTTGTTGTTGTTGCTGCTGCTGCTGCTGCTTGTAGACCACCTTGAATGTATTTGAAGTGGGGTCATAATAGGAGTATTTGTGAAATTGATTATGTTTGGTTGATTCACCCGTGGGTTCGCTTTGTAATGTTGTAGTAGTTGTGGCTGTCTCAGTGGCTGTTGTGGTGGCTATGCTCTTCTTATCAGTGCTAGTGTTGTCCGTATTTAATTCAACCGATGTGGCTAGTTTTACCTTGGATAGTTGTTGGTGATGCTGTTGATGCTGAAGTGCTGAAGTGTTTGTTGTACTGCCAAGTGTATTTCTATTGACATTTAGGAAGGATATGGTTGATAATATAAATAAGATTACAACTATTGTGATGAATGTACGATGTTGAACCCTTGTAGCACCCATTATCATTCAACTGACAGAAAAGTTATCAAAGGACTATGAAGGAGAATAGGTTGAGAGTTAAAAGGAGATTTTACATCTTCTAGTAAGATTCGTGAAAATGATGAACATATCTATATATATAGAAATATATAGCGCATAATGTGTAAGAGGTTGTTTAACAAAGTAACAAAACTATTGGATTAAGGAACTTGTTTTGTTTAATGCGTGGACCATTGTTAAAAGAAAAAAAAAAATTTTATTAATTGATTAATTAATAGATTTAGTGTTTTAGTGTTTTAGTGTTATAGTGTTTTAGTGTTTTAATTTTTGTGTTGATGTTTTAGTAGTTGGTGTGGAATATATGGAAAATATGGAAAATATGGAAAAAGGGTTATGCAATGGCTATGCATCAAAAGCTAAAATAGAAGAAGTAAAAAAGTAAAGAAAGGATGAAAATTTTCCATTGTATTTTAGTGTGTGGTGTTGATAAAATGCATCTTCTAATTTTCTATAAATAGTTTCGTATCATCTTCTATTTGTATTTTATTTTTAGTTTTGTTTACCCTCTTACTCTCTCTACTCAATTAATAGTGTTGTATATACATTGCTCTTTTCTGATGACAACAATACTTGTATAGAAAAATAAGTTATATCTCGGTGTTGAAAAAGTCTCCTTTATTCACCTGTTGTATCTAATATTACAATAAGGTTAAGGTTAAGGTTAAGGTTAAGGTTAAGGTGGATGTTAACATTTGACACATTCACAAAGACAACAGCAAAGACAAAAAGAAAAGGAAAAAGAGGAAAAGAGAAGTCGCGTGTTTTGTTCACTTAAAGGTCGTGTCTTCTTGCCATTATTTTTATTTTTTATTTTTATTTTTTCTTTGTGTACTTTTCTTTTTCACACACATTGAAAGAGAAAGATACATAGATGTAATAATAGTGGTAGGACATTACATTCCATTGCAGAAGAGATCTGCATAGTATAGAAGATCTACAAAGAGTATAAATTTGTGTATTATAATTTATAATAATTGGGGAGGGGTGAGGGAGTGTTGGGAGAGGAGAACGAGGAGCGCTTAATTTCATTTGACACACTCCACCTTGAAACGAAGATCTCCCAATAGATCCAACTGAACCCCTTCTTTTATAATAGCTTATTCTCTTGTGAATGATGATTGACCAAAGAGAGAGAGAAGTGTAGAGATAAGACTTGAATTGTGGCTCACTCTAAAATTAAATATCTTGTCAACTTACCCACGTGGTGTCCTCCCCCTGTATGATGCATCCTCAACCAACTAAACTATGATTACAACAATGTGAGCACTCAAGATATAAAACCACTAAAATACAATACAATACAACACAACACAATACAATACAATACAAAGACTAAATTGGCGAAATACATATCTACATATATTGCAAGGCTTAGATTCCAAGGGCTGTAGATCTTGCATTAATACTTTATCAAATGAGATAACCCCCTACATATAATTTATAATAGATAAATACCAAACAAGCAAACAAACAAACAAACAAAACAATACCAAAATGGGCCACAATATGATAAGGCTCTCTGCATATCAGATAAATCGTAAACGCCTTATTTAAATACGGAAAAGGGGAGAGAAGGTAACAAAATGCAACAGAAGTAAAAAAGGGGCTCCCGTAAATGCTTCAGAAGAGGGACTTAAGACTTAAGACTTAAGACCTTGTACATAGGTATAGACTCTGTAGTATTTGGTGCTTTTTATGCTGTTGTTCAACACTTGTGCTTCTAGAACTTCTTTAGTTAGAAATCTAATTACATCATTCTTCTAAGGAGAGGCAACACCCGATTCAACTTCAATTACACATCCCTATTAATTAATAGTAACCAGTTGTACATCTATTTGGCATCTATAACTATATAAAGCTCAATCCTCCTCATCACTGCTATACCACTCTTTAGGTTCATCTTTCAAGTCCTTCATCAAAAGAATCAAGTCTTCTCTAAATTCCAACGCATCATCTCCATCACTATCCTCGTCTTCCTCGTCTTCCTCGTCTTCCTCACCGTCACCCTCATCATCGTCTTCTTCTTCAATCTCAATCACAAAAGTATCATCTTCATCCTCAATGTACAAGTCATCAATATCAGTCTCATTTAATTCCTCCTCAGCCCTCTTTCTTTCAACTTTGGCTATAAACTCATCCATCTCGTCATCTATCTCATCCGGTACAAACTCCTCATCATCATACTCATCATCTGAATCAGACCCACTTTCTTTTTTAAATGGCTCTAAACTATCAGAAAAGTTCCACAATTGACTAAACTCACCTTTGGCGAAACTATAGCCACTGATTCCCAACAATAAACTAGGTACAATATACAACAATGCTGGTTGACCCGTTTGGTAAACATTGAGTGCCACCAATGTTGCTAGAATTCCAATGGAATAAAAGGTTAAACTAGCAATGAAATATGGCTTAGGATAATTGGTCAAGTGGTGGAATGGCTCGTTTGTGTTTTTCCGGTAGTAATTCGCCACATCAAAATGCAAACATAAATTGCATAACAAACCAGGAATGACAATATCACCTAATCCTAGTATACTAAGTCCAGTTTCGTACATTTTGGGAATCGACAACTTCATAGGTACATCCATCTTTGTAGCAACGGTCACCATCACCTCAGTGCCAAAAACAAAGTATATGTCATAGAAAAACAACCCCAACAACAAACCATACGCCAATTTGAAATTTGTCAATTGAAACTGTGAAAAAGATGAAATGACAAAGTTAAAAGCAACAAAGTTACTCCATTTCCAGCTGGCATAGTTTTTGTAAAACCCGTACCCAATTAAAAGGGAAACAGGTAACAAGACTAAAGGCCGTAAATCGAAAATTCCATCAAATTCAAATGCGTCAGTATCCACGCCAGTTTCCCCAAAAATGGTTAGTTTCTGATTCTCTAAGTACTGCTTAAATTTAAGAGCTCTTATAACCTTTGCGTCCACTTCCTTTTGTTCTTCGTCTTCATCCTCATCTACTACCTCTTCTTTCTGTTTCTCTTTTTCTTTGTCACTTTTGTTTTCATTGAGAAACTCATCAAAGTCAATATTCTGCAACACACCCAATGGAAACAACTCCTGATCCTTTGTAATAACAGCTCTGTATCTTTGAAATACCGCCCTTGAATCTTTTCCTAGTAAATGGGTAATCTTTCTAACAAGCATAATCAACAAAGTGTTCAATGCAAAGTAGCTATTTGCTGGTGTCAACAAAATAAAGTACCATTTGAGTATAGAATTGATGGAAATTCCATTTTTTAAGCAATAATACATCCCAACTAAACCCAGTCCAGCAATTACTGGGAAAATCAACACGTGAAGCCACGTTAATTCTTGCATTCCAATCAGTTCTAAGTCAAATTTGCTTGTAATAAAATACCTTGAATCGTCCATATCGGTCGGATCAAAATCCCTGTTACAATGCATGTCATCTCTCGGGTCTCCGGCATCCTGAGGCTTCGAAATGGTGGAGTATGATCCAATGATGATCAATGTTATCGAGAAAACTAAAATCAACGATGCAGTGGAAAGTTCTTGTAAGATCCATGACTTTGAGTCTAAGTCCAATAGCGCTGTGGTTGAGTTTGAAAAAATTGCAGTTGAGTTGGGCAACGTCAGCGAGACCGACTCGAAAATTGTGGTGTTGCTCATGTCAGTGAATGCTATATGGTATGCTCTCTCTAAAAAGAGTATTGCATTTTTTCATTCCTAAATGAGAGCAATAGACGCGGCTTTATAAATTGTAAGCGACCAGAAAACTAAGACCACCCCACTAACTTTCAATCTCATACGGAAGCTAATCAACTGCCAAGGCTATCAGCCCTCCACGAGATATTATAGAATGAGTTTGTTTCTGACTCAAGATCAACTGCTCTTTACAGACTTGGTTGCAACTATCCAACATCAACAAGATGATCGTGAATTACATTGGTTGGTGTCCCTGGTCATACTACCAGAGTTTCCTCAAATCATTGAAGCTTTGACTATTTGTTCAAACTTACTAATGCACAATTCTCCACAACAACCAGACCATAGCAGCAAAATTTTAAAAGGTCCCCCTATCAAACTTCCGGTGTCTTCAGGAACTCAGGATAGTCTAAAGGGTATCATAGTACGAGATGGGGCTTATGTTACCGAATTCACGGTGTCTGTCAAGGACCACTACTTAAATAAGGTATTCCACAAATTGAAGTTGAGGAAACCAGTGTTGTTGGAGCAAATAGTCAATGCCAATAGTGCAATTGACGCATCCATTCTGTTGATTAACCAATTGTCTGAGTTTACCGAAGTGCAAGACTCAGATCACGAAATTGAGCACCAGAGGTTGATCAAAGTATTCCAAAGTTTATTGTCGACTATTCAAACAGCTAAAACTAACCTACAACTCCCGACAGATCCATCATTGGTGTTTCCTGAGAAAGTGACTCATGGTCAATTCTTTGAGCCTGAACTCCCTAGCACTGTACCTGTTGATTTCTACCTCAATCAAGCCGAGATTTGCGTTGATCTAAAAAGTCTATCAAGAGTAACTGAGAAACCATGGGGTGATATCGATCCTCGTACAGGACAATCTTATGTTGATAAAGTGCGTGACCAAATGAAACTACCGCCTTCTTCCACTAATAGTATTAGGGGCTCTGTAGAGCAGAAGTTTCCATCGTCTGACGTGAGCTCGACTGCAAGCCCATCGCCCAGTGTTCATGTGGCAAAGGATGAAAATGTGGGAAACTTGTTTCCTGAGCACGATACCAATCATGAGACTAGCAGTTTTTTCAATAATATGATGAGCCACATTCTGTTGAAGCCGAGACATGATGCTCAGGATTATATCACGAGGTGTATAACTTACAACAAGATGGTTGTAATGATCAAAACAAAAATTGAAGTCTCGTCTGAGGATCCAGTGTTGGTTAGCTGTTTTACAAAATTGGACTCGATTGAGTATTTGATTACAAACTTTTTGCACAGTTTGAGTAACCTAGTTGGGTGATGTATTTCTTGCACTGTTGCTTGTGACTCGCTGTTCTTAACAAAAGGGTTGTTGTTGATAGGTGAAGGTCTTGAAAAATCTCCACATTTGGCATGAGAGTAATCCTTTCTACAAGTTGTTTGCGAATACCCATTGGAAGCCATTGTTTAAGGAATCGCTGTTGGAGACTGGATTGCGGAATCTCGTTTCAGCTTCTGAATTGCCCAACTAGCGTTCCTTTCCTTTATCAAAAAATGCCAAAACTTGGTTTAGTTGTGCTTGACATTCCGTCAACTGCCAAAAATAACAATTAATAAAATGAGCAACTGGAAGACAATAGAAACCCCTTACATCAAGCGATAAATGAAGCCACAAGCGAAACATTAATCATGTGTATATTCATCTACATAGCCTATTTATAACAGTTTCTTTTACAATAGCTGAGATCTTATCTCGCCTCATCGGCACTGATCCACTCCCAAACCTTCATTATCTCACCATGATTCTCAATAATTTTACTAGCAACATTCGTATTGTTCTCGATCTTACATCCCACAAAGTTCCACAATCTTACACGTTCACTTAAATCATCTTCGTTGCTTAGAATCAAATCACGTAGTTGATTAGCTCCAATATATCTATTTATACTGGGGGTATCTCGAGCAAGCCTCACTTGATTAATCAATTTGTCCAATACCTCTTGATACAAAATGTCAACTTTGATCTTTTCCAATTGGTGACGTCTAAACTTCGATTGTATTGCTTTGAACGACAAAGCCGACAAAATTAATGTTAGTATCCAATACTTGTAACGAGAAACATTTCCCATGATGCTGCTCTGAATTTGACATCTTAAACTGATGTTTGATAAGGACGTTGATCGAAGAATTTCGACCTTGTCTTGTGCCTTGCTTGGCGTGTTGTTAGCGTCAAGTGTGTATTTTCCTGGTGAAATATCTGCAAATCGGACCTAAAGCAACAGTTAGTATTAAAGTTTATTCGTTTGATAAATGTTTTAAAAAAAAATTTTTCGTACTTGCCTTAAAATGATATCGGGTTCTTTTGTCAATTCTACAATTGATCTCAGCCAAAGTTCTTCAAACTCCTCTGTAGTTATATATGGTGCTTTCATCGATAACAACAAATCATGCAAATCTTGCACAGAGATACCGCTTTGGTTGTCGTCCGAGCCTTTCCCACAATCAACTGCTGCATTTCTGCTACGCAATAAATCAAGGGCAACATCAATCATAATCTCTAATTTTTCAGCCTTTTTTGTGTCTGGTATACATTTCTTGTGACCAGGTGAAAAAAAGTCATACCAAGGTTTGAATTCCATAAAGTCTTCGAAACAGCCCAATTCTAAATTAGTAAAACATCTAGCGTGTTGTGGACAGGGCACACAATTGGGTTTGCAATAAGTATCGAGAGCATTTCCAAGCTTTCCAATCAATGATATCGATGACTCTTCAAATGTTGGTTGGTCGATTTCCTGACCACAGTATCCAACTAAATACTTTTGCTCATAATACCAGAACCCAAAAATCGACGACAATATGACAACGATCCAAGTAACAAAAGTGATGGCTGAATTAACCAGGAGAATACCATCAGTGGCATCCGTCGATCCATCCAGTACTATCTGATCAGGTTCACTTGCCAATTTTTTCTCATCATCTATCTCTTCTTCCTCTTCGGAGTCCAGGACAGCTTTCGTGGAGTTTATCGATAATAATCTTGGCTTTGGCGTCAATGCAACCCTCCCAAGAGGTGTTCTTATTCTCTTTGGAGTCTTTTTCCCCGACAACGGTGTTATATTTCTCTTCAACGATTTGCTTGAGTTTGGAGTTGCCCTTGAAGTTGGAGTTGAATTTTTGCTTGGTGTTTTAACATCCTTCTTTTTCTTCCCGCTTGATGATTTTGGGATCACAGTTTCTTCTGAAGCTAGTTCTTTTTGGTCGTTCTCTAAAGCAGATTTTTGTGGTGTCGCGTCTCTTCTCCTAGATCCCGAGTTACTGGTCAAAAAACTTTCAGTATTCCTGATTCGCTCCCAATCGGTTGAGTTTTCTCCGTCTTGATCCAATAATGCAGTATCACCTATATTTGCACTTGGCTTTAAATCTTGTGCCTGAGGAGAAGCAACAGGTGGTTGAAATCCTTGAATTGTGATTCCCAACAGTTTTGCCAAGTCATTGTCGTATGCAGGTGATTGGGAAGATCGAGACTTTGGTTGCAGCTTTACCTCCATCTTTAATGGAGCGTTCGAAACATGTCTTTGTTTAACTATTTCCAACTGCTTGTCAAAATTGGACATTTCTTCTTCCAATGACTTGAATGATTCTTCATTAGCAGAGGCGGGAGGCGACTGCACCGTTTTATTTGATGAGGTTGTAGGAGATTTGTTACCAGCCAAGGGGAAGTTTTTGTGTTTCTTCTTGTCATCACCCTCTATTATAGTATAATCAAAAATGTCGGAATCAGTATCATCAAATATTGATTTGCTTGGAGATTTTGTGACTCGTGTTTTACTGCTAGGAGGAGATTTTAATTTCTTTGCAGGAACAGAATCATCCTTGCTCTTTAACTTTCTCTTCCTTGACGCCTTGGATGACTCTTTGCCAGATTGGAAAACATTTTGATCGCTGAATGAGCTCAAATTCTCTGTTGCATCAGACTCGGAATTCTCAATCTCAGATTCTTGTTCTGTTTTGGAAATATCAAGCCCTGCTTCGTCAACATCCTGTTTAGCGTTAGCACTCTGTCTCTGCTCAGAATTCTTTGAGGTTCTGATCTTTTTTCCCTTTATCTCCGTAGCATCTTTATCATCCTTACTCTTGGAAATCTTTTTTGCCTTTGGTTTCACGACTTTTGCATTCTCAGTATTCACCATTGAAATCTCTGGAGTAGGTTCAGCAGTTCCTTTCTTTGTTTTTTTCTCCTTCCTGGGTGTCACTTCATTTATTTGCTCTTCAGTTTCGTCGTCATTATCTGTAGCGTTGACGAAACCTTTATCATGAGAGTTGTCAATTCTTGAGGTGTACTCAGCAAGCAATTCAGGCCCCCTTGGCACTATTTCTTTTTCAAAAATGCTAACCAATTCTGCTTTTTTGGCCGAGCTTGGAAAGTCAACACCATGCAAGTTCAATATATTTCTTAGTTTCGCCACCTTGAGCGATGACGGATCAAACCCTAACTGAAGTTAGCAATCCCTTCGTGATTGTATGTTCATTAATTAGCTTAATTTGCTACACATACCAGGCTGTAAATACTCCATATCTTGCCTAAAACGAAAGTACTCTGCTCGGTTAATAAATTTATCGCAGTTGTGTCGTGAGTTGTACTGTCAGCTACGAAATCGTGATGAGACTTTGGTTTCTGAAATTTGTTGTTGTTTACATTTTGCTCCTGATGTACTACCAAGTGTTTAAGTCACGTGAAAACAGCTAAAACTTTCCTGGTTGGCCCAAACATCTCTCCATCTATATAGCAACTACCTAGAAATTCGTATGGTATCGTACTCGATAAAATGGTGCACCTACTAAACTTACATGGGGGGCTCAAAATATTTTTACATGTCCCAATTCAGCGTTGTTTCTAATTCAACAGAAGGTGTGACAACCTTGTTTGATATGCTCTCCTGCAATGAGTCTCTCGGAGCAGCTGAGTGTGTCTCCTGTACTTAGTGAACACCCTCTACGTGACCCCAGGAGGAGGGAAGGACTGTCGGTCTGTAGAAATGTAGGAATGTAGGACTGAAGCATCTGTATATGCTGTTTGACGAGGGCGTTGCTGCGAAAGAGTGTCTGCTAGTACAAGTGAAAATAAAAAATAAAAAATAAAAAATAAAAAATAAAAAAAATCATTTTATAAAGACCTACCGAATCCTCGTACTTCCGCCACTGACAGATTCTTGAATTGAAGCTGTATTCATTTACACCGACGCCGCGGAATACACTTGGAAAGTTTTGTAAAGGGGCCAGGTTTAAGGAAAGCCAATTTTGCTAAACAGCCTGCCCAGTGTTTTGAAAAGTATAATTCAATTTAATATATGTGGCCTTTCACGAGCACCAATAGTGGTACTTCTGGTAACGGTTCGTTAGGTGAGGGTCTACCGACCGAACTAAGAGCTTTTCTCCTCAAAGAAAATACTGAATCTAAACAATTTGGACCAACGGAAGCATCCAAATTCGATGCTTTACCCCATGATAAACAAGTTCGAAATAAACTTTATAAACTCCCACCAATGACGGACGACGAAGTGTTTCAATTTGAAGAATTCAAAGTTACTAATCAAATACACAAGGCAGTATCTATCAATTGTGCTGAAATTGAGTATCATTTACATCAATGTTATCAACAATTTTCCACCATTCGAAACATGTTTCAATATCCTTGCTTTAAACAACAAAATGATATGCGTGGCTGTAAGAATTTACAAACTGATGGGTTCAAAGTGTTGCATTATCAAGATTGTTATAATGTTGAACAATGTACAGCAATGAAATCATTTGTTGACGAGGTTTTTGTTAAAAATTTCGGCGAGTTGGGAGAGTTTAGCAGTAACGAGGAGAGGATAGATGGGTATTATCGTGACCTAAATCTTGGATTTAAATACTTTTGGTCTTAGGGGAAAGTATTGTGGCCGTGTATATATATGGAGGAGAGGAGAGAGAGAGAAAGAGAGAAATAGCATATGTTTATTTCAATGTTGTATATTATTTGCTAGACTTTGCCAAAGATTCAACTTTTCTTGAAAAGACATACTTGCAACTAATCCAGATGTACTTGGAAATACGTAAACAGAAGTTTCAGGAGGTATTTGTGCAAGTAGTTGTTCAATTATTCTGTTGTACTGTTTATCAGCTCCAAGTTTGAGTTTACCCCATTGAAAATTGTCTTTGTTCAACTTGAACTTCATCCCCAATTCAGAAATATAGTACTTGACAAACACCTCCCATATACCCTTACCAATTAATACCACGTTTTCAGGATGACTCGAGTTTATCTCTTGCAATAGACGCGGAATATTGTGCAATTTCTCCTCGGTGGTCAATTCAGCTGCTGTTGCTGTGCATCGTAAAGCCAAATCAGTAAATCCTATGTCATAATGTATCAAATCGAAATCATCCTTAGCCGAGCATCCATTATCGAGTAGACTGCGTAAATGATCATTGTTATCGGTTTCATTATTGATAACCCCATCTTTCTTCTTTCCTGCCACTGTTTTCTCCAATAGTTTTGATTGATTGAACAATTTCCAAAATAAATTTGAGTGGTGGGCGTAATGATGTTGTTGTATTGATGATTGAACCCCTGGATTGAATCCTATGAACAATACAGTCAAGTTGGAGCCTAAAGATTGACGCAAATCAGGTAAGTCGGTAGTATCAGTTACAACCTGTTTTATCGTCTTTTTAGGACTTGAATTCCGTTTCACAGATGGTTTCTTGCTGACTCTGGCATTTTTCAACTTGATGTCAATTTCTGGGTCTTGGCCATCATATTTGAATGATTGTATGATATTCTTTAACTCTTGTGGCATCCCATCTCTCACCCTGACTTTAGTTGTAATAGCTCCTGTAGAGAAGATTTTATGGGTCGCAGTGTCTTCCAAAAATTGATGGAGCACGTGCAGGTGCCTTTTCGGAGAATAATGTCCCAGCCAAAAATTTTGACATGTCCCGGCTCTCCAGGAGGAGGGAAGGACTGTGGGACTGTATCATCATGTATATGCTATATGACGAAGGCGTTGCGGCAAAAAAGAGTGACAGCTAACAGCCAATATTTTGTCTTAGGGGGATAGACTACACTAGACATAGGACACTGTAGAGAGAGAAAAGATACAGTAGAAAGAAGAAGGTTGAGCGTGTAAGGTGATGTCCACATCTTTCGTTTGTTTTAAAGCATAAGTTACTTTACTGTCTGTGAATATTCTTTAAAAAACGTAGTAATATATTGAGTATATATTAATGCAAAATCTTTAGAAAAAATAGTTGGAAACATATGGTGTAGTTAGACATAGGACACAATTAATTGCAAAATTAGGTTATTGTATATTCCATAACTACGGAAGTAGATGGGAATAGCTTTTGTAGTTGAATAATCTCTTCAAATTTACTATTAAAAACATGAAAATCACACACGTCTACGCCAAATAATGAACCGCAAGCCACTCAGAGCACTTGAAAAGGTACCCAAACAGAAGGCGGCAATTGTGTATAATGTTTGTAAATCGGGGGTAAAGAGGTAACCTTGCAACAAGTTCTGGAAAAGTATAAAGTAGCATTACTAACAATACAAAAAAGAATGAAACCTCCAAAAAAGGGCAAAGTTAACTTTCATTCTCAAAGATTATTGTCAGCTCCTGCAAGTCTGACTATAGCCGATAAATTAAAGTTATTGGGCAAGTGCGGCCAAGTAGCAACTACAAAAGATGCAATGTACTATGCAGACTATATTTTGAGCTGCACGAAAGATCTACAAACAGTGACTCGTGGATGGCTCAAAGGTGTTAAGAAATGCCACCCGAAGATTGAATACAGACAGTAAGATTCCCTGTATGCAGTTTGGATAAAATCCTGCAATGTTGAGAATGTAAGTGCTTGGTTTGAAAAGTTTATAGCTACCACCGAGGAGCACAACATAAAATAGGGAAGACATATACAACTTTGATGAAATAAACTTGAACATTGTCAAGAATTTTAACCGTGTTTTTCCAATTTTGCCTCGTGGTGAAACAAATCGAAGGGTTGCACACGATGTTGGGACTGAGTATGTAACCATTATAGAGCGTGTTAACATGTTGGGTGAAAAATGAAGCCAATGTTTATATTCAAGGGTGTCGATCTCCATAAACATTGGACACCCATCAGCAACATCCCCGACTTTGAATACCCTAGTAGCAAAACAGGCTATATTAATTATTTGCTTGCTGTGAAGTGGTTAGAAGAAGCTTTCATACCACATACCGGCTGCAATAGATTCATCAACGGTAGGAAGGTTGGAATTGTTATGGATAGTCACAAGTGTCATACTAGTGCTCTCTTCAAGAACAGAATGGAGCAGAATAGCATTGTACCACTACTAATGCCCTTAAATACCAGTCATATCTTGCTACAACCTCTTGAACAAAAGACGTTTGTTCAAGTCGAGAATAAATTTTGCCGTTTGAAAACTCGTAAGGAAACCAAGAAGGAGAAGCATCACAAGTAACTCAAAAAGAAGGCACAACTTGCTCTTTCTTATGACAAGGCCAGAGAGAGTGCTCTGAAAGCATCAATTATTTTGTACCTGTGGAAACGAGCTGGCTTGTATCCATTGGATCCAGATCTTGTTCTTTCTGGTTCATTAAATAGTCTGAAGCCTCCTCCCCCAAAGAGATCTTTCGGAAGCCCCGATTGTCGATGATGACGGACAGCCTCTTTACATTCCTCCTAAAAAGAATGGTGTATTGACCAAGTATGTCAGGGCAATGGGTGTAACTGAGCTGACAGTTTTCTTTGTTTTCGAACGTGTGAAAAATACTATTCTTCAGTTGCAAGCTATTATCGATTTTCTTAAACGTTCATCTCCGAAACCTGAGCCGAACACAGCAGGAGAAAAGACAATAGTATTCAATTTTTAGTAGACGCTTTGCTCCTATCCTTGTCTGCCTATCTTCCTGTACCTAATACAAGAGGAGAATTATTTTCACCGTTCAAGCTAATCCAAGAGGTTCGAAGAGAATATCAGTAAGAATTGTCAATGAAAATGGAAGCTGCAAAAGAGTAGAAAAGAGCTGAGAAAAGGGAAAAAGGCTGCCGTGTGGAGGGGGGGGGGGCAATGGGATATTGCATTTACATCAATGTAGTTCCCCCAAAAAAATAAAAAAAAAACCTTCAACTCCCAGCTAATTAATTTGAAATTTGTTTTTGTTTCGTGTGTGTACAGTCTTTTTATTTTTTATTCATACTACCGCGACATAATAATTCATACCAACGCGACATTTATTTTTCAAACCGGTGCGACATAATTTTTCAAACCAATGCGACATAAATTTTCAAACTACAACATTACCCAAAAGAATTTCCACACCTCTGACCTAATTGAGCCTGATTCTGAAGAATTGGGGCAATTAGATTAAAAGTATGAAATAATATCAAATCATTTTTTTTTTGTTTGAGCTTAGTCATTTTCTGCTGTCCTCTCTCAGAGTTTTTGCGGTCATTTTCTTAAGTCAAAAATCGTCCCGTTCTTGTTCATCAGGTTTTGTAACAAGGAGTTGCACTCTAGAAAGACCTCGACTCTAAACAATACAGTATATGGTCTTTGGCATGTTTACAGAAGTCTTGATAACTTCAAGGTAGACGTTATTATACTAACGAACGAGACCAAAGATCGAAGGGAAATTCTAAAAGAATGCTCCAGGGTTGTCAAGTGGTTGATTACATTGCATTACGTTTATGGAACCTCCAATACAGTGGAATGCCACAATTTCAAGAGAAAAGTGTTGATTCATGATGTGATGATGAGAAAGTGACCAGAAAGACGCCCATTTACAAACATTGAAGGAAGACCCCCCCCCCCCGGAAATGCACGGGACAACACAAGCTATAATTAAGATTCTTCGGTATTCATGAACTAGAGGGAATCATTAACAAAGTTAAAGGCCAGTTTCGTTTTTGTGCCCGTCCCTTGTTGTTTCCTTAAATTGACCACGATCTGGTAATATAACCCAAGCTTCGCGATGCTAAGATTTTAGATCTATCGACCCACTTCCCACTTCCCACTTCCCACTACCTCACCCTAGAACCATCATGAACCTTTCAGACTTGCCCATTGAAATCCTTACTAGAGTCCTCCCCATTGAAGATTACCTTATAGATCTTCCCACTGAGATCATTGTTCCATGGTTAAATTTATTGCCTCAGGTTAAACTGTATAGAATATTAGGGGATAGCGGATACGGCGCTGTACCCACCAAAGAATTTTGGCCACTGAGCGTAACAGTATCAGGCAAAATTTTGAACAAGTATGGACGAAGCTTTGAAACAGCAAAAGCGTGCGTCGCAAAAATGAATGATAAACTTCGCTATAGAGTATTTATCAAAGCTGGGCATTATGTTGAAGCCAAATATTATAAGAAATACGTCATTTTTGACATTGAGGCAGTTGGGCACTTGGTTCAAGAATATTACAAACTATTGTTTAAACTTCATCTTTGGCCAGGCAATGATCGACTGTTTGTTTTTCTATGGTGTCATTATTGTGATTGGGATTTATCTACAGACGGCAAGAACGCGACCTTTATTCACCATTCGAAATTTCATTATGATTACGTATTGACGAAATTAGCCAAGATTTGGTTTACTGGGGATAAGGTTTTGATGTCAATAGCCAAGAAATCTGCTCAAAGTCACTTTGAATTGATTGAAAACTTGGAACTTAGCATGTCTGTGGATGAGTTTATGGAAATGAAGACTCATTATTCATTTCTGAGTAAAAGTTTGCGGCCTAAAGAATTGCGAATATACTTGAATTTGGTTGAAAACAGTGTAGGCGGAGTAGTGAGCACAAAATTCCCAGCTGATTTTCCCACAGAGTGGGTCACTGGATTATTCGAAATTAGCAAGGTGCAGGTATTCGCTTTACACTATTTTAACCCCAGCACTACCGTCAATGATCTTGGTCTGCTACTTCGCAAAATGCCCAACGTAATAGAACTTGATTTATGCTTTGGAAAGTTGGATTTTGAAAAGGTTGCAAGGTTGTTGCCATTCAAGAACATTAACTGTCATATCCAAGTTAAGGTTGACAAACATTTCTTTGAAACATATCAGTTTACGCATATCAGACATGTTTGGAGGATTGACATTCAGGATACGTTTGTTGTTGTTGGTTATATTAAAAGGGCCATTGTGTATGACTCCACCGCGAAGCCGTCAACACTTGCTCAATGTCTCGGCACTTGGTTTCAATACCTGTGGGAGAGGAATCACAATAAGCTTATATCAGGTAAGGAGTCAGTAAAGCAATTACTTTCCAAAAATAGGTTCAAACACCATTTGAGCTGACAGTCAGTGTGAAGTTATAATATACAATTTTCAACGTGACTCTGGGAATATTTACTTGCTCGATCTTTGTACAATATTCCCCCCCCCCCCTCTCGTCAACTGGTGATGTTCATCGAGGAAAAAGTAGAGAAGTGTGTCATATTAATAGCTGTTATAATTGATTTTTTAGTATATAGCACTCCACTTAATCAAACTAGTAACTTTGGAAATAGAAATATCAACGCCCAATACGTTATAGGATTGGATTTCGTATCAAATGATCTTATCTTTGAGAGAGTGACACGAAGCAGCTACTTCCAAAAAAATGAAACACAAAAAAAAAAGCAATACCGAATAAGCAAGAGGTCTCATCAAACAAAATAGCAAGCGAAGAAAGGCAAGACCAAATTTCATTTTCTTGTTAGTTGGTTTTCCCCTATAAAAATCTCCAATATATTTGCAAAATTCTTTGATCGGACCGGTGTCTTTATTTGTCTTCTCAACAAGGTTCTTATTTGAAGCCGACATTAATTCTTCAGCTTCAGTGATATTATCAACAGTTCTTAAAAGGGACAGCTTAGGTCCTTTTTTCAACTCCGAAATAGGTTTCTTGCTGTAATCCTCATGGTTACGGTCATTCACCACAGCCAATGTGGCGTGATGACTGGTCTCGTCAGATGCTTGGTGTCTTGAAATATTGCTTTGGACTTTAGATTGAGCATCATCGGTAACATGAGGAGGCCCCCTCCCCTCCTCCTCCCCCAAAATACGATTCCCAAAATATTCTTGCAGTGAACCCTCCACTACGGGTGTAGCAACTCTATGGTTCTTACTTAAAACAATCTCTGGCTCAATAGCATTGATTTGACTGGATTTCAATGGCGTATTCCTCGAAACTTTGACTGTTATGGCTTTAGGTTCTGCGGCAAGGTGGGGTTCATAATTCCTGGAAACATTGGTGCTAGCTTGTGGTTGTTCAACTGTTGAAAGTGGTGAAGATTGTTGCAGTGAGTCAAGTTGATTTGGATCGGAATGTCCAATCTGTCCATTCTGTCCATTGGCCTCTTTTGAATCATCAATATCATTTGTTTGCTTCAAATCTGAATTATGATCCCATATTGTGGTCGGTTTACAAAACTTGAAAAAGCACCAAAGGTGATGAAACAAGGCCACAAGGAAACATATCTGTACTCTATCGGCAAAATTATAGCTAAGCATTTTCTTAACCAACTCATAAATACCCAGTGGTTCAGGTGCACTAGCGATGAAAAATGATGTCTCACCCGGATTGGACAGCATACTAGTACCGAGTTTCAAAGTGTGAAGTCAGATCTGAATTCGGTATTGAGTTTGGTATTGATGAGTTTAAAAAAGTGTTGCAAAATATTTTGTTTTCAACGAGACGCACCACCACACACTAAAACCTTTTTGTAGTTACTGGTATTCTAACAATTTCTACATCCTGACTTGCCTATTTTGGAAAGAAAAACAGGTATCGACTTATAATCAAATCCTCACCTGTGTGGAGCCCTTTTACGTTTACAAGTTTCTTCCTGTTCAGAGCTAATTATCTACATCCACACTATCCCATTCCATGTGGGATTGCAAGTTGTCAACTTCACTCTCATTTAGATGGAACGCTTCATTGTAGTCACTGTAACTAAAGCACGCTTCCAATGGGGCTGTCTCACCTTCTAGAGTCACCCGGTTAAACTCGAAAGTGAATCAATTACCAAGTCCCACATATCTGTCAGTACGTATTAGTAGTAGTAAATTGTTTCAGAGTGTTTTTTTTTTCTTTTGCCAAAAGCGTTATCTTTACCTTTACACATTGGATATATATATGTGTCTAAGGTTGGTATTGAAAGTTTGTTGTTCTTGGTTACTGTTGTCTTTCTCTTTTTATGTGTGGTGATATAATATCAAAAGACCAAAAACTCCCTACCCACGTGGAGTGTGTTGCAGTTATTTCGTTCTATATATCGTGGGTTTGTGTCACTTTTTATTGCGTGTGGTTTAGTGTAACACCATTTTGATAAGCAAATGTCACACCAACAAAACACACTCCACTGTTATTGTTTCCCGTCTATTTGTTTATTGAAGGAACAGATTGTAAAGCACAGAGACTTAGTGGTACGGTTATGCATCAAGAAAGAGAGTGTGTGTTCGAATAAGATGAGTTAGTATCCTTCCTTGTAATCTTTAACATCACTAAGGGGATCTTTCAGCATTTCAATACTCTTTACCAACAATAATAACAACAACAACAATTACTGCTACTACTACTACTACTACTACTACTACTACACAATAGAACAAATTTAACACAAGAGAAGGTTTCTTTCTTACTCTTCACAAAGAGAATAAACAGAAACAAAGTAGTACATATAAGTTTTACTTTGTCCTTAATATGTAAATTGTGTTTTTGGTGTTAAATGCAATTTAAAAAAAAAAAAAATAAATTGATTTTAGATGCGCACGTGGACCCCACCATTCACCTCACATACTTTAAACCCATACACCTACCATAAGCTCTTCTTTTGTTACTAATTACAATTGCTATTACTATTAATATTGCTATTGTTATTACTATTATTTATTCCACAATGGGATATGGTGGAAAGGAGAGGGGAAGAAACCATTTCCTGTCTCTAGTCAATCTTTTTGGTATAGCTATCTTAAAAGAAGAGATAGAGTACATTCCTTTGTACAGAGTTACTTTCACCAGAACACACACATGGGTGAAGAGATGGGATGGAATGAAATGGGTTGTCTTGTGCTATGCTATGTCGTATTAGAAATTAAAGCTCTCGGTATTTCCCACCTTCCTCTTCCTTGTACACAGTAAGTTTAACTCTAACTGCATATGTAGTACAATACAAAATTATATAAGTATACAGATATTTCTTTCTGTCGTATATACAGACAAAGTTCACTCTGAGATATTAACATACACTTATCCGTCCACTTTTGCATCATATACAGATTCACTAAAGAAAGTGTTATGTATACCAGTTTTAGTTACTGATCATCATTTGGTATATAAATCATAAATTATATTAGCGCAAAAAGCTTTGACATAGACACACCCACACTGACTAAACTGACTGACACACACCAAAAGAAAAAAGAAGGAAAAAAAAATTAAACAATCAACCATTTACTCTTCTTGTTCTTCTTTTCAACTAAGAACCAAGAACAACCGTGTCTTACACAGCAAGACATATATAACATTTGATCAAAATTTTCCTAAACCAGTTTTCTCCTCCTAATAGATGATATAGCAGCAGATTCTTTCACCCATTCGCATTTGAAAACAACACCACCACAACCACAACAACAAATCAGCTCCACTATGATGATGTCTGCGCCTTCAACAACTCAAGTGACGCCAACATCCAGCCCCACGGGCTCAGCTGGATCTTTGAGCAAATATGGTGAGGGCAGTAGTAATATCAGTGGTTGTAGCAGACACTACCAGAACGTATATCGACTGGCATTCAGACAAACTACTCCTTCGTCAAAAACCGATCCCAATCACGATAAATTACATTCAAACCACACCTCGTCTCGAAACCCGCTGCGTAATGGATTAACATCATCTGAGAATATTAGAAATATGAACAAAGGGGGAGGAATTTCGACAAGTACAACTCTTGATGAAAAGAGACGTCTTGTCACTGGGGATGACACTTTTTTAGCCCAATATATCAAGTCATTAGAAATTCAAACAACGTTAAATGATCAGCAACTATATTTTAAAACGATTGAAAAGCAACGAAAAGTGAAATCGCTTGAAATTTATCAAAGATACCTCAACTCAAACAGGAAAGTTGATAATGACAGGGATTACAAGCAATATTTGAGCAAGATTAGTCCCAGACTTCAACGCCGAAATGTTTCTCAATCGGAACCTACAAACGAAGTTCCAATAACTGCAGCAACAAAAACATCAACCACTACCACTACCAGCACTACTACTGATCACCCAGCTAAACAATCAGTTTTGGAACTACAAAAAAAGAAGCAACCTGCGTCTCATATAACTCATCAACTACCGTTGGAATTTATGGATTGTCCTATTGACTTTCTAATAGACCTCATATCAAGAATGTTGCAATCTTTGATCACATTGAATGATAAATCGGTGCCTAGCTCGATTTCCAATCCACCATCGACGTCAACATCAACAGCATCCACAGCATCCACAACTTCAGCAGCGTCAACAACGTCAACAGGTGGTCAATCTTCCAATAGTCTATTGACTCGATACCACTCACGTACACCACCAGCAATATCAACATTGACTTATCTTTCTCGTCTTACAAAGTTTAACAATTTCAATCCGGCGATTTTGCTAACGACTATTTATTATATTGATCTTTTATCCCACCAATACCAACCATTTTTCACTCTAAATTCATGGACGGTTCATCGGTTTTTGTTGGTGGCCACTATGATTGCCCAGAAATCATTGGAGGATTTCTTTTACACCAATGACCATTATGCTAAAGTTGGAGGTGTGGCTATTGGTGAATTGAACTGCTTGGAATTGGATTTCTTAAATAGAGTTGATTGGCGGTGTGTACCGGGAAAACAAGTTCTCAACAAGACCACTGGGTCAATTTGCACCAATATAGGACAAGCCAAAGATGTGTTGGATTTATATTACTGCCAATTGATTGATTTGATGGGGAAAAATACCCATTATAACCAAGGCGATGAGCAACCAGTACATTACATCAAAGAAAAAAGTAGGGGAGTGGGTAAAGGGCGAGAAATGGTGCGGAAGGAGGATGGAAGCTCAGCTGATTGTGAATCCTTGGATGATTATGTACTGGATGATGGAGAAGAATACGATGATGATGATGATGATGATGATGATGGTGGTGGTGATGATGATGGTGATGCTGACCAGGAAGAGGAGGATGACGTTGAATTCTATGACGATGATGATGATGATGATGAAGATGATGATGAACCGATAAGTGAATTGGGAGGGGATGATGGCAAGTACAAACTACATCCTGAGCTGAGACAGAATCAGACTGAGCAAGTGTACGACAAGAATGGATTCATCTTGAATGGCTCTTCATCGCCCCATTTGAAACGAAGATATAGTGGTAGTTTATAAGGGAGGTTGCGCCTTTGTTTAAAAAGGAAACTGTTGATAAAAAGGATTGAGCTAGATGTCGAGAGAGGGAGAGCAGGACTCTGTATTTTGAAAACATGTGAATAGTATATTCTGTCCAAAAAAGAGATATGCATTTGTATTATTGTCTAACAGTGATTCCATTTTTTATTTATTCATTAGAGATCACTTGTCAATCTATAAGTAAGAAACATAAACTGCAATCATACAACCTCTTCTTGCTTTCTTTGTCTTCCTCCACCATATAGCATGGTTGCTCTTTGAAACATTAGTTTTTCTCAAGCAGGGAATAATAAGTCAAGGATATTAAGTGACTTTCTTTGCTTAGTCTTTTCCCTCTGAGTTGATTATGTCGCATTGAATAGTACGAATAGTATGAATAATTATGTCGTTTTGGTATACCAATAGTTATGTCGCACTGCTATTACTGTAAGTTGTAGATTGTTTTACACAACAAGCATTAATATATTACAAACTACTAAACATACAAGTAAAGAAGGTTCTTACCAATCTATATCTCTGTAGAAGCATACGATGGTTGCATAATGCGGGGAAAATCACATGCATATCTTAGATCTAATCGGTCTTCTCCAACCAAAATATGGAAATTAAATCGTACAATTGAAAATCACACCCAAATAAAAATCTTTGACCAATTTGGTAGCAATTTGGGGTATTTATTTGGCTGGATGGGCTAGAGTAGAAGGGATAATTATTTACCCTATTACCCTATTTCCTTCTGACATGAAGTTGCACCATTACAATCTTCTTTTTGAATATTATCTGTGAAATCGAATATTTCATTGACAAATTAAGCGATTCTATTTGCTATGTAAGTGCCCTCTTTTTAGATGAATTAGTCAATGATAATTTTGCATATTAAAAGAATCTTTTTACAATAGTTCATGGATCAGTTTTTGTTTATACTTTTTTTTGCTTAATTTTAGACTAAAACTTTTTATCTTTTTATCTCTTTTGCAGCAACGCCTTCGACATATAGCATATACACGATGCTACAGTCCTACAGTCCTTCCCTATCAGTCCTTACCCCTTCCCTGCACAAGTCCAAAAAAATTAGATGCCACCTGGAGAGCCGGGACATGTCAAAATTTTTCTCTGCCTCTGACCTCGAAATTGGCACCTGCATGTGCTTTCTTACTGTAAAACTGTAAACTTCTCTTTAACCTCCAATTGAGGGTGTTGCAGAAGGTGCTGTAGACTTAGACAATACGTTTTGCTTTATCCCAAGAGCTAGGATTATGTTTTGGGTAGATATGTACTTTTAGTACTAGGAAGAACCGGAACGATAGACGGATCGAGGTATCAAGACAAACCTTAAAAAGCAAAAATACATTAGTAATGTTAGTAATATTAAAGTGAACGTCGTAGCAAGGAGAGAGTGCGGGAGAGCTTCTAGAGCCAGGTTAATGAAGGGGCAAGGAGCATATAAACAAAGAGAAGGGAGAAGATGTAGCTTTATTAAAAGGACTTTGGACTTGTGGCTAGTGTAATATTGACCATTCGATTGAGAAGGATGTTGGATGGAAGTACGGAGTTTAGACGCTAACAACAGTAGTAGGGATTAAAAGAATCTACGGAGAAAAGAAAAAGAAGCTTGGTGAATACGGAGTTAATACCTCCGTAAACCGAAGGAAAGAAAAAAATAAAATATTACTAGCAAAGTGCGGCTTATACTCCCCAAAGTAATAATATATGTTTTCTTCTTTTTCGTTTTACTATTTTATTACTAAAGAGTGTACTATGCTTTGTGTTATAAAAAAATACATCCAAAAAAATAGGCTTTTTCTTATTTTCAATTTTGCTGAAGACAGGCAAGATGCATATAATGATGATGATGACGGAGGTTACATATTGTGTATCTATAAATACAGATACAACTGCACATCATTATCCGTTATACCTAGTCAACTTCTCAACTTCTCAACAGATACTCCCTAGTAATACCACTTAATCTTCTCACTTACTGATACACACATCCAAGCCATTACCTTCCCAACTAGCTTACCTCCACATTCCAATTGCACCTGATTTCGAAGTTCACAACCAGTGTGTTTTTTTCTTCTTCTTTTTTAACAATATCAATCAGCAGCAAAAGCTAAAAACAAAAGATGGAATCAAACTCCACGTCTGCTTCTACTTCATCAATAGAAGATTATACAGGTCACCATAGTCATGGAGATGAAAAAGCAAATGATAAACCCTTGAAACGGACAGACTCAGTTCTTGGTTATGAAGAAGATTACGACGATAATAATGAAGAAAGCAGGAGGTTGCATTTGGTGAGGACTATTACTGCTTTGTCCAATAAAGACTCCAACACTCAACTAGACTCCCTTTCAAAACACATATCCCGACAAATCACCAACAAAGATGGAGAGTTTACTATGAAGATGGAGGAGTTCAGCCTTCTTCGAATTTTATCGAATTTTGTCTATTTTGCTAAAAAGCAAGGGTTGGCAATGAGATGCAGTGGAATCTCTTTTCAAGATCTTTGCGTTTACGGAAATGACGAATCGTTTGCCATTGTACCCACGGTACTTGATTTACTTAAAGGTCCTATTGGTGGTATACAACAAGCAGTATCGAAAATGAAGACACCGAAAAAGACAATATTGAACCATTTGAATGGGTTTGCCAAACCAGGGGAAATGGTTTTGGTGTTGGGTAGACCAGGTGCTGGGTGTACAACCTTTTTAAAGTCCTTGACGGGCACCGATTTCGACTTGTATAAGGGCGTTGAAGGAGACATTAGATACGATGGTTTGACTCAACAAGAAATGCTTAACAACTACAAAAACGACTTGGTTTACAACCCTGAGTTGGACGTTCACTTCCCACACTTGACGGTGGATCAAACATTGTCATTTGCCATTGGTTGCAAAACCCCAAAGATGAGGTTGAATGGAGTGTCAAGAGAACAGTTTGTTAACGCCAAAAAGGAACTTTTAGCAACTGTATTTGGTTTGAGGCATGCATATCATACCAAAGTTGGTAACGATTTTGTTCGCGGTGTATCTGGTGGAGAGAGAAAAAGAGTGTCAATAGCGGAAGCTTTGGCATGTAATGGATCAATATATTGTTGGGATAATGCCACCAGGGGATTGGACGCATCTACGGCTTTAGAATTTGCCCGTGCTATACGAACCTCGACTGACATTTTGAGAACCACTGCTTTTGTCTCGATTTACCAAGCTGGAGAGAATATTTACGAATGTTTTGACAAGGTAACTGTTCTTTACCACGGAAGACAAATCTACTTTGGATCTGCCAGGACAGCAAAGAAATATTTTGAAGATATGGGATGGGAGTGTCCACCAAGACAAACGACCGCTGAGTTTTTAACCGCTCTTACGGACCCCATAGGAAGATTTGCCAAACCAGGATGGGAAAACAAAGTACCTCAAACGGCAGAGGAGTTTGAGGCTTACTGGTTGAGATCCAATGAGTATAAACTGTTGCTCAAGGAGATTCTGGACTACAATAACTCGATAGATGCTGATGAAACGAGACAAATGTACTACAAGTCAATTCAACAGGAAAAAATGAAGGGGGCCAGAAAAAAATCTCCTTACACCATTTCTTACTTGCACCAATTGAAGTTATGTTCTATAAGGAGTGCACAGCAAATTTGGGGTGACAAGGCGTACACCATTACCCTTATTGGAGCCGGGGTTAGTCAAGCGTTTGTTGCCGGCTCGTTGTACTACAACACACCCGAGACAGTTATTGGTGCATTTTCACGTGGTGGAGTTGTATTTTTCGCCGTGTTGTTTATGGCATTGATGGGGTTGGCTGAAATTTCGGCTTCGTTTAGCAGTCGTCCAATCTTGATGAAGCAAAAGAATTATTCAATGTATCATCCTTCAGCCGATGCCCTTTCCAATTTTGTCACTTCAATCCCCATCAGTATTCTTGTCAATATATTCTTTGTCATTATTTTGTACTTTTTGTCCAACTTGGCTAGGGAACCGGGAAAGTTTTTCATTTGCTTCTTGTTTGTTATTTTACTCCATTTGACCATGGGAGCATTATTCAAAGCTGTGGCTTCTATAAACAAGTCAGTCGCTGGTGCGAATGCATTGGGAGGTGTGTTGATGATGGCATCTTTAATGTATTCATCATATATGATCCAGCGTCCTTCTATGCACCCTTGGTTTAAATGGATTTCATACATCAATCCCGTGTTGTACGCATTCGAGGCAATCGTTGCATCTGAATTCCATGGAAGACATATGCAGTGTATGGGCCAGTACCTCACGCCAAATGGTCCCGGTTATGAAAACTTGGATAGTGGTGAGCAAGCTTGCGCATTTCTTGGGTCCAAGGCTGGTCAAGACTGGATTTTGGGAGACGATTATTTGAAAACTGCATACACATATAGCTTTACCCACGTGTGGAGAAACTTTGGAATCATGATTGGATTTATGGCATTTTTTTTAACTATCAATGCGTTGGGAACTGAATATATCAAACCCATAACTGGTGGTGGAGATAAACTTCTATACTTGAGAGGCAAAATACCCAACAAGATTGCTTTACCGGCAGAAAAACAAGCTGGTGACATAGAAGAGGGCCCAGCTATGAATGATTTAGATGATAGAGAGGTTAAAGTCAATGCAAATGATTCGGACTTGAGAGTCAAGGATATTTTCCTTTGGAAGAATGTGGATTATGTCATTCCTTATGATGGACAAGAAAGAAAGCTTTTGGATGACGTAAGTGGTTATTGCATACCAGGAACATTGACGGCTTTAATGGGGGAATCGGGTGCTGGAAAAACAACCTTGTTGAATACCTTGGCCCAAAGAATTGACTTTGGAACTATTACTGGTGATATGTTGGTTAATGGTAAACCTCTTGATACTTCATTCAGTAGAAGAACCGGATATGTTCAGCAACAGGATATTCACGTTTCCGAAGTAACAGTTAGAGAGTCATTGCAGTTTGCTGCTAGACTAAGAAGATCAAATGATGTGAGCGATGAAGAAAAATTGGACTACGTTGAAAAGATTATTGATGTTTTGGATATGAGTCTTTATGCAGACGCAGTGGTGGGAAGATCGGGAAACGGGCTCAATGTTGAACAAAGAAAAAAACTTTCAATTGGGGTCGAATTAGTTGCCAAGCCATCGTTATTATTATTCCTTGATGAACCTACGTCTGGTTTGGATTCACAATCAGCATGGGCAATTGTCAAGTTGTTGAGAGATTTGGCCAACGCTGGTCAATCCATACTATGCACCATCCATCAACCTTCCGCTACGTTATTTGAAGAATTCGACAGGTTGTTGCTTTTGAGAAAGGGAGGACAAACAGTTTATTTTGGAGAGATTGGTGACAAGTCTACAACAATACTCGACTACTTTGAGAGGAATGGAGCTAGACACTGTGACGAGACAGAAAACCCAGCAGAGTACATATTAGAGGCTATTGGTGCTGGTGCAACTGCTACAATCGAAGAGGATTGGTTTGAAATCTGGCAAAACTCCTCCGAAAAGACAAGCGAAGATGAAAAATTGGACAATTTGATCAAAGAGTTGGAAAAGAAACCTTCCGACTTAAGCCCAGAGGAGGAGAAACAGTTGCACCACAAGTATGCTACTTCATTATTTTACCAGTTTAGATATGTCTTGCATAGAAATGCCTTGACGTTTTTCCGTGATCCTGATTACGTTATGGCAAAGATCTTTTTGATGACAATAGCCGGTTTGTTCATTGGATTTACATTTTTTGGATTAAAACACACAAAGACCGGAGCCCAAAATGGTATGTTTTGTTCATTTTTGACTGTGGTTGTCTCGGCTCCTGTCATTAATCAAATACAAGAAAAGGCTATCAATGGTAGGGATTTGTTTGAGGTTCGAGAAAAGTTGTCAAATACTTATCATTGGTCATTAATGATTTTGTGTCAAGCAATCAATGAAATGCCGTACTTGTTGATTGGAGGTGCAATTATGTTTGTTTCTGTTTATTTCCCGACACAAGCAGCTACCACGGCCTCGCAGTCGGGTATGTTTTATTTCACTCAAGGAGTATTTGTTCAAGGCTTTGCGGTCTCGTTCGGGTTGATGGTGCTTTATATTGCTCCTGATTTGCAAAGTGCTGCTGTTCTTGTTTCCTTTTTATACACGTTTATTGTTGCTTTCTCGGGTATTGTGCAGCCAGTCTCTTTGATGCCGGGATTTTGGACTTTCATGTACAAGTTGTCACCATACACATATTTCGTGCAAAACTTGGTCTCATCATTCTTGCATCGCCGAAAAATTAGATGCAATGACAAGGAAATGGCATTCTTTAATCCTCCAACAGGGAAAACGTGTGGAGAATTTGCTGAAGCATTTGTGCAAAGATCTGGAGGGTACATCAATAACCCGTCTGCCAATTCAGATTGCGGATACTGTTCATTCACCGATGCTGATCAATACTTGTTAACCATTGGAGCCAAGTTCTCTTACAGATGGAGAAACATTGGGTTTTTCTTTGCCTACATTATTTTCAATTTGAGCTTTTGTATGTGTCTTTACTACTTGTTGAGGTATAGCAAGTTCACTAAAAAGGTCAGTGGGTTTATTGCTGGTTCCAAAAAGAACAAGAAGTAGAAGAAGAAGAGTTGGTGACAAATGTATATAGAAACACGTTTAATATAAGACACACAACTAATTTAATATAATAGTATACAGTTATATAAGCTTAAGACGGCTTGATCAATTCAAATGAGCAATACAAGTGCTTATTGACGCTCATTATTGCTCCAAAATTGTTGAATTCTCCACAATAGTTTGGAGCACTAAATACGGTTACAAGTTTTCTCTTGTTGAAAAACTCATACCCATCTTCAACAACCATATGGCCCCTAACGATAAGATCCAATTTGAACTTCGAACAAAAGTAGTCAACATGCTTCTTTCCAAAACAATAGGATACTCCTCGGTCATTTTTAGGCCAATTTGTTAGCGAAAAGTTTTTAATCAGAGGGTCAGGATCAGACCATAGCAAGTCCGCCAACAATCCCTTGTCAGGGACATCAGTCGGTCTCTTGATATCCTCAATCTGGGATAAATCATTGAGCTCGGGTGACAATCCTCCATGGACACAGAAGATCTTATCATTGATGATTGCTGCTACCGGCAAAGTGTTGAAAACATCAATAAAGGTTTTCCACATCCGGGGGGACTTCAATCTTCTTTTGCATTCATCGTAAAACCCGTAAATTTTTGTAATGTTTGCTGACTCATGGTTTCCTCTCAACATGAAAAAGTTTTCGGGATACTTGATTTTATAGCATAATAGTAACAAAATTGTTTCCAAAGACTTTTCTCCACGATCAACGTAATCACCCATAAAGAGGTAGTTTGAATAAGGCGGATACCCACAACAGTTGAAAATTCGAATGAGATCATGAAATTGTCCATGGATGTCACCAACAACTTTTACTGGAGGAGATAGTCTCAATAAGTTGGGTTGCTCCAAAAAGATTTGTCTACTTTTACCCAAAATGTACCTAATCTCCTCAGCATCAACGTGCAACGCATCTTTTGACTTGCGTGAGGACGAGCGTTTCTTGGTTGACAACAACCGTTCAATGACACTATCAATATCAATGGACAACTTCTTGTTGCTTGGAATTAATGGTGGTGAGCTTGATAAGGATGTTGAGGTGCTTGATTGGTGTTTCAGAGAGGCAATCGATGTAACCTTGTCAAACTTTTTCAAATTTTCCTGTGAAAGTTGTCGTGGCTCGGGAGATGACTCCAACGATCTGCTTTCAGCTATTGAATCCAACTTTGACACCAAGGGGGACCCTTCAATGTTTGCCAAACTCTTTGCTGCGATAGAAGTTCCAGGGCTCGAGCCTGAAGACAGGAGCAGTTCGTCTTCCTTCATATCGGTACCAGACGTTGTAAATACTGGCGAAGCAACAGAAACATCCAGCGATTCCACCGATGACGCTACATCGTGCTGGTTCTTTAAAAGTTTAGCCATCGAAAGTCCAATCTCCAAATCAAAATCTTGTTCTCGAGGGTAATCCTCTAATGCAGGTGTCTTGCCTTGTGATTTGAGTCCAGTGGACCTATTAGGAGAATGTGCCATGGCTCCTTTTTGTCGAGAATCAGGAACATTCAAATACTGGCTGCCGCGACGCCTCTTCCCCTTGCTCTTAATTTCAATGGCTGGAGATGTCGCATGTACACTCTTTGCTATAGAAGCTTTCTGTTGTTGGTTTTGTTTCTGTTTTCTAATGTTTAGTTGAGATAGCGCCAGGGCCATCTCATCAGGATCTAAGTCGGTACCTCCACTTGTACCTGAGTTGGAGCTGCCTCCATTGTTTGAATTTGATGAGGATGACGACTTCGGTAGGGGTTCATCTTTGGACGGGCTATTTCCCATTGGTCAAGGCAATAAAAACGGGATGGGATAATAAAAGAACAAAGAACAACTGGGTAAGGGGATATATGGTAAAGTTGAATTCTTTTCAACTAGGAGTGATATGTGAGTGAGGGTAGGAAAATGAAAAGTGGAAAAAACAAAAGAACAGTATCAAAGTGGGTGTAGTAGGTTTCTGGGTAAAGAGAGGGCTCTTGGTAGGTCGTGCTTATTAACAAATGATGTTGACGAAGAAATTGAAACAATTTTTATAAAAAAAAAAAAAAAAAAAAAAAAAAATTGAATTTTAATTTATTTTAATTTCTTTTCTTTTTATTTTTTATTCTTAATTTGTTGTTTAGTAACAACAATAGGAGAAAAATAGAAGGTCGTGTGTGTATGTGTGGGGAGGGAATTAAGAACAAACGTTGAATGCGAATAACGGGTTTGTTCCTTATTGCACTACTTTTTTAAGTATGGCAAAAGCCACACCTTAATTTTAGTGTGGCACACGACCTCTTATTTCATCGTGTAGTGTTTGCATCTAGATTTATCACAGAGTGTTTCAAATCTACTTTGGTGGTTTTCGAATAGGAGTATTGTAATCAAATATACCCCTTTCGTTACACCTCACTTGTTTTGCTTCTCAAGAGCTTGTTTATAGGGGTCGAGTTTGAAGGAATTAATGGTAACCAAGCAATGTGCATTCGATTCCCCCTTTCAGTTCAACTTTCTTCATATATATATATCACTAGCACTGGAAATGCTCAACATAACCCGAGGCACATACTGTGATAGTGGCTGCAATGTAGGTTACCTCCAGCTGAAAAGAGCACTGTTAATAACCTCCCTTTTTAAAAGCTCTCGCTTCAATTTTACCTAGAGCCCAACTTCTTCTTACGGCCTACGCTGTCGTTTGTAAAAAATCTTTCATTGTCAGGGTAGCCCCTCGTCACTACTGCTTGGGAAAGAAACGGTTAGATGAAACTTCCGATTGATCATTAGATGAATAGAACTCCGCATTCATTTCAGTTGAACTTACTGGGACCTCCCCACGATTGCGCATTGTTCAATACCATGAATGCACTTTTTTCTCGATTGTTTGTTCGCTTGTTTTTTTTTATTTATCTTTGATTCTGTTCTCTTAACGCATGAGAACATTCATCAGGCAATTGAGCAGTTCTAGTTGCAAATTTAGAGTCATGACATTATCTTACCAGCCTGTCAAATCTGCAGGATGCTTAATCATTGGTGATGAAATATTGAATGGGAANTACTTTTTTCTCGATTGTTTTTTCGCTTGTTTTTTTTATTTATCTTTGATTCTGTTCTCTTAACGCATGAGAACATTCATCAGGCAATTGAGCAGTTCTAGTTGCAAATTTAGAGTCATGAAGTTATCTTACCAGCCTGTCAAATCTGCAGGATGCTTAATCATTGGTGATGAAATATTGAATGGGAAAATCATGGATTCCAATTCGTACAACTTTGCCAGGTTTTGCTTTAACGACCTCTCTATTCCATTAAAGAGAACAACAGTCTGCGGGGATGATGCCCAAGATATCAAAACATCTATGCATAACCTACTAACCCAAGATAACGTCGATTTCCTTGTTACTTCTGGAGGCCTAGGTAGCACGCACGACGACATCACATATGAGGCTATCAGCGACTACTTCAAGTTGGAGTATAGGCTTGACCAGGAGGTGGTGGAACGGATGCAATCCCTTCGTAAGGAATACTTGGCGAAATTGGATAAAGAGCAATTGGATGCATTTTATAGAATGGCAACTTTGCCTACAACTTCCACTGATTCTAGGACTCAGGTTGAGAAGATATATATTGATGACAAAATGTGGTTCCCAATAGTTGTTATTGATGAAAAGGTTTTTATATTGCCAGGTGTTCCACAATTGTTTGTCCAGTGCTTGCCCACAATTCAATCATATTTGGACTCAAGACTCGATTCGGCAAAATTAATAAGGAGATATGTTGTGACAAAGACTGGGGAGAGTCATTTGGCTCCATATCTTGGTAACTTGCAAACAGAATGCAATAAGAAATGTGGAGATGGGGTTGTTAAATTGGGAAGCTACCCTCACTTGGATTCACATTTGAACACTATCAGCATAATAGGAAACGGCGTAGAATTAAAGTCAGATTTAGATTGGGTGGTTGAAGATTTATTAAAGCACGTAAGTGGTCAGTGTAGAGAAATAACTCAGGACGAAGAGGACAAACTTAGTAAAATATAACCGATAGAACTACTGGGGGAAAAGGTGGTTGGCTGCCTCAATTGCTCGTGAAGTGGTGGGATGTTTGCTGGAGTGGTGATATTCTGAAGGGAGCTATGTGTGAAGGTCAACTGGTTGGACAAGGAAAACTTTCCCACGAAAAGTAGGGGCAATTATTATGAATGTGAGAATAAAACGACAGATTCTTGGTTTGAGGGATAAATAGATATTGAAATTAGAGTCTCTAAAGTAACGAAACTTCAGGGAGAAGAGGGTGCAAAAGTATAGATTCTGCATTTCAGGTGCTGACGTGTACATAACTGCCTTCTTTACGTGCAACCACAGTGCATTCATTTTCTTATGATTCAGGGTTTATCTCTCCAAAAGTCAGCAATAGTTTTTTTCGATGACGTTTTCCAAAAGACAAATATTGTACTCTAAAATAAAGCTTACAAAATGAGTGACAAAAGTTTCAACTAATTAAGAAACCGACTAAAAGCATTACAATCTGATAAAGTATCCTTATTAAATAGCAGTTGTAACACTCCAATGATACCTACTACATAGCTGCATGAAAATTGGAGGATCTCTAAGCAATACCATATCACATTCAGGTGCCAATTTTGGAGTCAAAGACCGAGAAAAATTTTGACATGTCCTGGCACACCAGGCGGCATCCAATAAATATGGAGACAGTTAATTTAAACACCAAACATGTTAGAATAAAAGCATTTCTAGTAGGTGTTTATTCCAAGTGGAGTGGATGATTGTGGGAAGGTTATGTTTGAGCTTGGAGTATTGAATGGAGCTGTACGAGTGACCAACTGACTCGAATTAGATCAATCAATATGTTAATCGACTTACAAGGTTTGGAAAAACAAAGTGTATCCAATACCAATTTGTTTACATGGAGAGATGGTGAAGCTAGGAGACCTTTAGGACCATTTACTTTTGAGGTAGTCCCAGATAGTGCCAGTCAAGTCTGTCCTATGGTAGCCAAGTGCTGTCCCTAGGAGATGTGATCCAATTGCTATGACTTCACCAT